TGACTACAAAAACGCAGCTTGCGTTTTTGGGTGGTCAGGAAATTCCACTTGGGGGAGGGTGATTTTCAGGGTGTCACTTGGGCCCTTTTGTGAGCGGAACCGGTTCCGAAAGATCGATTTGCAGGAGTGGGTCAGAACCCCAAGGCCCAAAGGTGGCTCCTTTTAAGATATGTCTTCTCACTCTGGTCAAATGGCTGCAGGTCAAAACCAATTGCATAGAGTGGGGATTGGGATGTTCACTGGGGGTACGGGGGTTTGACCCATGCCCAAATGCGACAGGCTTGGGAACAGCTGAAGCACCCCACATGTTTTGTGAGGTGTCCATCGCTGTTAGCTATTGCTTGGCATTAACTCCTTCGGGTAGGGGTCCGTTTTTGTCTTGCTTTGAGCAGCTGAAACATTTGGGTTGCGCCGTGGCAGGCTGAGCTACTGTAGCTGTTTTATTCTGTGGCCTTTTGTGTTTCTTTTCTGCTGCTGGTTTTCAGTTAGGCCCCTTCTTACAGAGACACATGTGTGTCAAAATCAGGGATTTGGACTTTTTCCCCCCTGGAAAGAAAAAGGAGTTTATTCACAAAATAACAACCACAAGAAACCGGAAGCACCATATGGTCTTCCTTTTTGTTGTGTTTTTGTTGGAATCAAACAAACAAACAAACAAACAAGCAAGCAAGCAAGCAAGCAAACAAGCAACAACAACAGAATATGGTTTTCCTTTTTATCCTTTTTGGGAGTCAACCTGAGAAGGGCAAACTCCCAAAGCGCGCGTTGGGTCCGCCTGTGGCAACACCGCCGAACAGCTCCAGGCGGTGGCGGACCGCCTGGCGGAGGCGTTCGCAGAGCTGATCCACTTGAAGATCCGCCAGGGCGCCCAAGAGGTTCCCAGAGGTTCCCTTGTCGATTTTGTTTGAGGGGGGCGGTGTCTTGTGGTTGGTTGTGGTTTTGTTGTCTTTTTTGGGAGGTTTTCGGTTGTTTGCGGTTTCTTGGTGCGTGCTGTCGTTTGTGTTTGCTTTGTTCGTTTTATGGGTCTCGATTTGGTGGTCTTGGGACTGGGAGAAGGGTAAGGCACTGTCTCCCGATGGTTTCCATTGTGGCTGGGACCTTCTTGTGACATGTGACAGGTTTTCAGGTTTACTAACCACGGTTACTAGAATCAACAATAATAGTAGTGGTCGAGGGGCAATAGCTGAGGTGGAACATGGTAAAGCACGGATCCTTTTTGATGATGGGTTTTCTGGCTGTCCGAAAAGACGACCCGAAATCCTTGGGGTTTGGGAAATGGGCAAGGCGTGTTGGTTTCCTTGAGCAAACTGGGTATCCAACAACAATCATGTTTCACGTTTAGTTCCATCCCCATTTGGGGTTTCCCACTTTCAGTGTTTCTCAGAATGGTCTTAGTGATGCCCATCTTTTTGTTGGGTAGTGGGAAACCAAAAGCACACCAAGAACTACTTGTTGGGAGGCCCTATTGTGGGCGACCCACCCATTGACCTTTCAACAGGCTTCACCATCGCTGGCCTCGGGTTTCGGCGGGATGGCTTGGTTGCACGGCCATATGCCGAGTCTAGAGACGAGAACAGTCGGAGAAGAGCTGAGCTGGACGCTCCGAGTGTGAAAATGTGGAAACAAGAAGGGCCAGTCTGCCAACATGGAACCGGAAAGAGGTTCCAGGGTTTCAGTCCTTTCAGGTTCCAACTTTGCTTAGAGGGCACGGCCGAATCCTGGAAGGCCTCGTTAGCCTCCAAGTCGCCTCCAGAGATTTGAAATGACTGAAGTGACCCGCATCGATCAACCTGACTGATGTGAGGTCCTGTGAAGCGAACAGTGTTCTGCTAGGCGATGGATGTTTGTGTGTTTTGCCAGTTTCCCAGGCCCCTGTTGGCCGTTGAAGTTAGCTTTGTGCCCCCCGCCTCAAAGGAGCTAGGGGGGTCTTGCAGAATCCGGCAGCTTCCGCTGATGCCTCTCCCGCGCTTAGGAACCACGCTGTGGGGCTACACGCCGCAGACTGAGCAAGGGGTTCCTGTTTGCTTGTAACTTACACGTAAATACCCTTTCACCAACTGGCAGGGGAACCCACTAGGGTTCTTTCTGACTGTACGAAATTGTCTTCAAGGAACACTTGTCGGGTTCAGATGGCATCATAGAAAATAACTTGGATGTCCCTGAGCTGGTGCGCGCCCTCGGTTTGGGAGCCTGGCCGCATTTGCTAACAAACTTGGGATCAATTTGGTGAGAAACAAGCGCTTTATTGCAACTTGTCATCGACAAAGGGATAAAGGACCGTCCACTTCCGAGCCATGTCCCCGCGTGCGAGAGGTGTGTTGAGAAACGGACGCCTTCCTTACGCCTTTCTGTTGAGTTCCCTTAGGCCCTGTGTGCAATTCACAAAGTCAACACAAAATGCAGCAGTCGGAATGGATGAAACCCTCATGTTGATACAGTTTGGCCGAATTTCTGAAAAACGTTCAGCAGAAATTGCCTCCATGTGTCGAAGCGCAAAGTTCAATTTTCTCCTCTTGGGCTGCAAGGCCGGATGAGAAGCTGTCGCTGGAGGAGATGCTGAAGGTGAAGTACCAGGGCATCCGCCCGGCGCCGGGCTACCCCTCCCAGCCGGACCACCGGGAGAAGAAGACCATGCCCGGAGCCCCATGCTCTGAGGACCAAATTGGGGACGAGCAAACGAGGGGTTGTTGTTTTTAAAACAGGAAACGAGCAAATGGAAGGTTTCCATGTAGCCCTCTGTTCCTTTGGCTTCTGATGGGTTTTCTTCGGAAACCGCAAACGTGGTCGACGGCATTCGCCAGCGTTGGGAAACCCCAACTCGAACCATATGAATTTGAATCGACTTTCCTTTGATCGTCTGAAAACGTAGTGCCCAGTGAGATCGAAAGTGTCCCAGTTCCATGGTCAGCAGATCCCAGAGTCTACTGTAGAATTCCTTATAAGAATTGGTTAGAGAACCAAGAAGGTCCTGTGAATGTCTCACGAGACCCGGAAGTGCACAGGAATCTTTTGCAAAAGGAGCGTCTAGGTTTGTTGATCTTTCACGCTTGTTGTGACGGCTTGCATTACTTTGGGGCCAGCCAGGTTGGGGCAATGTGTGCTTAAGCGCCTTGATCCTGGATCTGTCAGGGAAGCCCAAAAGTGGCGTGTTTAAGCAATAAAGTGGTATAGGCATCTTAGAACAAAGAGGTTGGACTGGAGTTCACCACCCAAGATGGTTCTGGCGTCACCTTTCTTAAGGTGGGACCTGCTGGACGTGGACAGGCGGGGGTCGCGCCTGGCGCATGTTGCTTCCTTGTTCGAAATGAACATGCTCAGTTCCCAGGGTTTCCAGAAGGGAGCCGGGTCCCTTTAAACTCCCGCTCTCTTTTTTTTTGTTCTGGGCCAGGATCTCAACTAATCTGTGGACGCAGGTTCTGTTTAATCAGATTCGCAAGTTTTTTGCAGGACATGGATTTGCCATGGCAGATCAAAGAAATTCATGGATAAACCGAGAGACACCCCATGGCCCATGAAGTGCGTCCTTTAATGGGGAATCCCTAATGATTATCAGGTCTTGGAAGTCTTGTAAATTTGCAGATGGCCAGTCCCCTAAAAGAAAGATGACAGCTATCTACCGAAAGGGCTTTGAGACTGGGACGACCTTCTTTCCTCAGCTCTGAACCCTGATTTCAGCCAAGTAGAGAAAGGGACTCGAAACGGATGGGGAACAACCAGAGGAAGTCCGAATGGTCATAGAAGCATGCCACGAGAAATTCCACGCGAAATATTCCAAGTCCAAAGCCCGATAGTGCTCGGCGGGCGTGTGGTTTCCTACATTTTGTCGTGGCCGATTTCTTCGAAACACCAATGTGAGCCACAATGAACCAAAAATAGAAGCGGCAAGCAGACCTTGTCCATTCTTCATATCGTTTTGGGTAGCCTCCTTTGCCAGTTGTTAGTTGCGAGGACAGGTTTGGGCCCCTGTCGCCTCCCAGCTGCTGATTTGAACTCAATTGGCTGGTTGGACTCGCCCAGTTGCGCACCATGGGTTTGTTTCTTCGCAAGGCTGACGGACAACAAGCTGGAGCTCACCGAGAGCTACATGATGATGCCGGCGCCTCAGTGGCCAATGCCGGCGCTCGGCGCCCGTGAGGCGAGCAGGCAGGGGATCCAGCTATGGCGAGTCACAAGGTGTTCGCCGGCAAAATCTAAGGCAGGCGTTGCCCGCAACGGATTGCGAAATCCGAAGCTTCAGGTATTTGCTTGACGTCGCTGAATTTAATATACAACCTGAGTTTCCTAAAAGGGAGCTAACATTGGTCTGTCTTGAACCACCCCAAAGAATTGTACACTCGAAAGTTACTTATTCGGTTTCCAGCGTTTATTTTCGTAGTTGCCAGGTGTCTTCATTCGGAATATCATTTTATGTTAAGCAACAAGTATCCAAGAGACAAAGCAACCATGCAACCAACCAAGCGACCACTCAACCAAGCAACCCAACCAACCACCGAACCAACCAACCAACCAACCAACCAACCAACCAACCAACCAACCAACCAACCAACCAACCAACCAACCAACCAACCAACCAACCAACCAACCAACCAACCAACCAACCAACCAACCAACCAACCAATCAAATCAACCAATCAAATCAACCAATCAAATCAACCAACCAACCAACCAACCAACCAACCAACCAACCAACCAACCAACCAACCAACCAACCAACCAACCAACCAACCAACCAACCAACCAACCAACCAACCAACCAACCAACCAACCAACCAACCAACCAACCAACCAACCAACCAACCAACCAACCAACCAACCAACCAACCAACCAACCAACCAACCAACCAACCAACCAACCAACCAACCAACCAACCAACCAACCAACCAACCAACCAACCACCAAATCAACCAACCAACCACCAAACCAACCAACCAACCAACCAACCAACCAACCAACCAACCAACCAACCAACCAACCAACCAACCAACCAACCAACCAACCAACCAACCAACCAACCAACCAACCAACCAACCAACCAACCCAACCAACCAACCCACCCACCCACCCACCCACCCACCCCACCCCCCCCCCGACCCACCCACCCACCCACCCACCCACCCACCCACCAACCAACCAACCAACCAACGAACCAACCAATACTAATTCCCAGTTTCTCATCATTCAGGAAGTAGCCAGTCAACTCGGCTCTGAGGCCGAGCGCCTCGGTGTCCGCGCTGGTCTTTGCCCACCCGGAGGCGACGGCTTCGCCGTCGCTGCCTAGTCGCGGGAGAAGGGCACGGGTTTAAAGAGAAGCCAACAGGAGACCCATTATTTGGATGCGGAGGGTTCTCAAAAGCACTTCTCTGACGCGGTGATTAATTTTGAGGATGTCTTACTACACCTATAGCAGTGGCTTTACGGCTTTTTTTTGTTAGCCCCTCCCATTGCTTCGTATTCGGAGTTTGTTCCTTCAGTTCGGCTGACGAGTCTAGGGAGCCCTGTCTTCTGTGCTGAGGAGCGTTGAGGAGCGTTGCACGGAGTGTTTAAACCTTCCTCGGGGGCATTCCTGGCCCTCCTTGAGCAGATGCTCGATAACTGCATTGCCAAAGCGCCACAGGAATTCCCCGTGTTTCGTGTTGGCTGATTTTTTTCTGTCGCTCTCTCCTGGGCGTTATTCTTTTTGAGAAGACCATAGTGGCGGCAATCAAACAGTTTGGGCTGGTTTTGGGCCAATCCTCTCAAGACTTGAGATGTCCTCCCTTCGGCCAGCGGCCCGCGACCGGCAAGATGGATCGGGGGTGACGAGTCAGCGAGACGCGTCGAGTCGCCAGGCCAAGTACTTCTCGGTGGGCCAGGTGAATAAGGACCAGGTCGAGTGAAAGCCCCAGCGACATGGGTTTGTCTCTTACTGAGGACCCCCTCCCTCCCCCCCAAAAATGATGATTTGGCGCATTTAGTTTCCCTTTAAGCAAGCCCCCAAATCGGGCCAGGCACACCTTGGAGGTTTTTCCGCAACGGCGAGTCCGCCTCCAAAGCAGACCAACTGTGTAGAGGGGGCCACCTGGGTTTTCTCAAGGATAAAGCGGATAAAGCCCAATCTTTCCCACAGCAGCTCACCTTTCCCCAGTGAGTGATTGAGTGAAGGGTGCTCATGGCTCTGAGATACTTCTGGTCGGAACATCCTTCAGCACAGTTGGTGGAGTGGACATACATCCTCGTGTGAGTAACAGAGGATTCCATTAAGCACAGATGTTTTGTCCCCGGACAATTTCACTGTCAGCGGCTCGCGTGACAAGACCCTCCAGCAACCCAGACCTCCAGTGGAGCCTCCTCTTTTTCCTTGACTGGCGGGGTGTGGGTGGGAGGTGCATCCTGGCAAAGGGTCTCAGTTCATAATGCCACCTTGAATCCACTGCCCAAGCTCAGTGCCCCGTCCGCAAATGGTGAGCCAGGTCGCAGCATTTCTTTTACAACTCAGCCAAAGTCCCCTGTTAAGGAGCTCTCAATGGGGGGTGTCAATGTTAATTTATCATGAAATATCATGAACCATGTTGAAACCGTTTGCTGGCCCCAAAGGAAAGCCTCGCGTTCCTTTGCAACTTACCAACCAGCCAATGGAATGCCAGGGCACAGCCAAGCGCCAAGGAAGGTTGCCCATCGATCGATTGAGGTCCTACGCAGCCCGACGCTGCGAGACTGGCGTCGAGGACTTCCGGGAAAGGATGGGGCAGGCAGTTGCCGTACCAAAAGTTTTGCCCCCGAAGATCAGGGATTTGGGTGTGGGTCAGCAATAGGCATTCCAAAATGGAACCCTGATAAATGTAACCAAGGACTAAGCCCTGTTGGTTTGGTTTTGACCCATGCCCATTTGTCTCGATGTTCCCAAACAGGGTACCCGTGGTACCCTCAACAAAGACAAACGCCGTTCCCCAATTCCAGGGTTGCAACCTGAGCCCTAGGATCGAAACCTGGTAGACAATCGGATTGCTTTTGTTTCCTGCCAGGCGCCAATGTTCTATGGGTCTCTTGGGCAATGGCAACCCTAGAGTCGGCAAAACGGAGCGGAGACGCCAGTCAGTGGAGCGGGTCGGCACAAGCCTAGATAGCAAACACGGCAACGGTGTTTGACATGTGGGCCCCAAGTGAGTCGGGCCCAGAAGCCAAGTGAGGGTGGAAAGCGGAGCTGCCACGCGTTTCGATGCACTTCCAAGTGTTCCCAAGACTGGCATGACGCGGGGCACACTCACCAAGTGACCAGCGTCGGGATTGGGTGTATTGACCAAAGTCCAATGTTTTTGTACACGCTTCCACGGAGCTACCAATGAAGGTATGCAGGTAGTCCGTGTGGACAAGCATGCAGGCTAGTGTTTTGCACTGCCCTGATTTAGTCATTAGTAGTCCTGGCTGATTGATGAGGTACGTTACCACGACCCGCCTCCCTGACTACAATCCACAAACGTCAATCCTCAAAGCCTATTCTCAAGCCGCTTCCCAAGGGAAAGCAGAGTAAAGTTGACCGATAGACCCTTGGGGCAAGTATAATAAGAACACTTGAGATGCGCCTGGCGACGTGCGCCTTGGAACAAGCCTGGCTCCTCTTGGCCTTGGCCTTTGAACATCGACTCAAGCCGTTTTGGCTTTGCCCTTGTGGGGTTCCTTCATTTTCCATTGTCAGTCAAAAGTAATGCCCCTTTCTGGTATCGCCTGTGAAAGGAGGCAGGCGGGGCAGTCGAAACAAGGGAGCCACACTGTTGATACCCCCCTTACCCCAAAACAAACAAGAGAAGAAGGCCCCCCCAAAAAATGGCCCATGCGTTGCAAGATGGCGCATGATGGCGCTCAATCAACTAAGAAAAACCGTCAACAACTGTTACCTTTGAAACCACTTCAGTCGCAGCGAAATGACTTCGTGACCCGTGACTCGCTGAGGACACCGAGCGGTGGCTCGGAAGCACCGTGCTGGGCTACGAGAAGAGATGCGCCTCGGCGCATGGAACGGGAACGCGTCCTGGATGGACGAAGTCCGTCTCTTCTTCTTCTTTTTTTTTTAAGGGGACCCCTCGTTCTTTTAGTGTCTCTTTGAAACCACAAAAAAAAGGTACCCTCAAAAGACGGCTCACCCGTATGGGTGTGAATCTGAATAGGGAACCCCTTCAAAAGTGGTTGGTGGACACAAATTCCATCCTGCATGGTGTCCACCACCAAACAATCATACTCCTATACCGTGCCCACTGCGTTCAATTTTACCAGGTACTAAGTCAAATTGGGGAATCGTGCAGGTGCGGAGAGACTTAAAGCGGCATTATGAGCCTTTGCATGCAAGTTGCCGATAAGCTAAGGAACGACCGTCGTATAACCTCAACGCGGAAACCGTTTGAGGCAATCGGTGTTTTTCCCTCCAAGTTTTCTGCATCAAGTAGTGATGCCAACCGCATTTCTTTTTGCATGCTCAGCAGGGCTCGTGCGTGCTTGTGGACCCAATTCTCCAATCGTTTGCACGCCTTCGGCAGGTGCATGAAACTCAGCACCAAAGGTTTGCTTTGCTTGCAACAAATGGGGCAGGTATCCCAATTGGGAGACCCACTTCAAGTAGCCCTTCCAGGCACGCCCTGCTGTGCATATGCGGGCCTGCGATCAAGTCAGCTGGCCCGCACTAATCTTTGATCCTGCTTCGCTCCATATCCGGTGTCCGAAGCTCTTATGGCACCGTGCTGGAGTCGACTCGAACCCGTCATAGTTCTGAGCCGCGCCATCAATGATGCGCGAAAAACACCGGCCGGGGGGGGCTGCGGAGGGGAAGGAATGAGGGCGCCAGACGCCCATCGCTGACTTGAGGGCCTCCTTCACGGTAAGAGTGCCCAGCGGGAGGAACCTCCGGCATGATGGTGGTCCCAAAATAGGCGCATTCTCGGTCGGTGGATGTTTTTGAATGCCTGTGCTGAGTAATGAGTTGCTGTCGGCGCCTTGCTCGAAGTGCAGAGTTAGGCATTGTGAACTGCAAGGTATTCAAGTATCACGGAGGGGCCTTCGAGCCCCAAAGCGCCCAGACGGCCTATGGCTCACACCACAAAGCTTTAAGTGTATTTTTGACCCACAGCCAAGTCTCGAGGCCAACTTTTCCAATTCAGGTCCTGAGGTCGGACGCTGTCCAGAGTCGGAGCCCACGCCTGAAGTCGCCATGCCCAGCACGCCCAACAACACCACGCGCCGCAAGAGCATCCTGGTCACGGAGGTGCGATACGGAGGGAAAGCCAGTGCGGGGAACATGTCTGCAACTCTGAAAAAACCAGGCCAAGCTAAACGGGGTACCATAAAAGAGATCATCGTTGTGGGTGTGATGCTCAGGTGAATGCTGAAAAAAAGCACCCCCGTTTGTTTCAGGCAGTTCTCTTTGCGTGCACATACGTAGTTTCAGGTTGGCTCCCCCCAATATTCTCTCAACGTCCCAACTCGCAGTGACAGAAGCACAAGCGTGGTTGTCCCAATCAGGCACTCTTGTGGAGCCCCCCAAGGCTTTGCTGGGTCCATGATGAACGTGTTGAGCATTTGGCTTGGTTTCCCTTTCAGTCACCATTTATATAAAGGATAAGCTTGTCGGTTTCAGGTGAAAACACATTGCCAAAAAGATGTGCATGCAGGAGGTATCCTTGTCACTTGTCACATGTGTATGTTTCATGTGCTTGTTCATCGGTGTTTTACGTATCGTTGCCTTTGGTGCGCCATGTTGGCTCAAGTAAACTTGTGCACCTTTACTCATGCTTCGTTTTTGCTTGACAATCGTACGTAGAACGGCACTTGTTGTTGACCCCAGACGTTGGACAGGCCCTGGACATCATCGATCAGGACAACTCTGGAGATCTGGGTATCGATGAGGTGGGGACGTTGCTGGCAGCGATGGGCACCTCGCGCGTGAGATTCAGCGAAAGGACCAGGAGCATTCCCTAATATGGCTGTGGGTCAAAACCAATGGCACCATTTTGGGGTAGGTGCACCACCCATTTTAGTCTATTTTAGCGGGGATTGGGATGTTCACTGGGGGTACGGGCTTTTGACCCATGGCCATATGGGTGTGTCGTTTTTTGAGAGTACCGCTTGTTGGGTTGTTTTAAAGGGAAGCCAAAGGGAAACCAAACCACCCTCTTCTTTTTTTTGGGTAGGGGAGTCGCCTTTAAAAGACACAACCATACTGGCCATATATGTTGACTCGGGGAAGCTAAACCCAGGGGTTTACCTGGGAAATCAACTGGAGATACCCCAGGATTTAAGTCTACCTCGTCCAAAAGTAAGTCCTGCTAAAAGCCCCAAGGCCAGGCACAACGGGAACCCACCACATCCCCTGAGAGGAAATGGTGTCTTTTCGGAGGAACGGCCAAGATTTGCCTCCCATCCTTCCACACGCCATTGTAGGACATTGTAGGATGATCTAGGATGGTTTCCACTACCCCCAAACCACCCCCAAACCACCCCCAAACCACCCCCAAACCACCCCCAACCACTCCCTCGAGGGTTTCATGAGATGGTGGAAACCAACTTAGTTTCTCGGGCACGCTCGGGCGCCACTGAGGCATGAACGGCACGGATGCCGAGCACGTGCTTTCGGCGGCTTACCTGTTTAGTCAAATGTGTTTGATCCCTTTTCATTTTAGCAAAGCCATCAGTGATCTAAAGTTGTTCAGGTGTGTTCCCAGTGCAGATTGGCTGAGGCCTAAGAATCTTTCAGCTGTCGGCTTTGCATCAGACGGTTGCCCCCATTCGTTCTTCTTGTTCGGCCAAGTTAGTAAGTGATCGGCAAGTGGGTTGAAACCATTAAACACATATTGTAAAAATATGTTACCGACAACTTATTGTGCGAAATACCACAGAAAGGGTCTGAAAGTCAGGTCCAGGTGTGCATGTGACAAAAAATAGGGGGAACCCCCCCACAAAAAACAACAACACAGAACAAACCACAAAAACACCTGTGGGCGTCTTCCTTTCGGTTTGCCCCCAAACCGTGAAAACGAGTTCCCTCCAAAATTTTGGCGCCACCCAGGTGGTCTTCGATGGGTGCAGCGCCACCAGCCACACCGCGGTCACGGACGCCATTCTGATGTTCACCTCGGTGGGGGAGAGGGAGCTCGAAGCCATGCTGAACCGAGCGCCTGGGCCATTTTGTTTTTTAACCGGCTGACTGGGAAGAGGGCGAAACGAAAATCCGAGTGGATTGTTTTTAGGCTTTTTTGGAGACATGAAGGGAACACCAACTTCTTGATTTTTTGTTTTTGAGACATGACCATTTGGGTTTCTTGATTTTGGCTGTGGGTCAAAACCAATGGTACCATGTTGGGGTAAGTGAATTCACCACCCGTCTATTTTAGTGGGGATTGGGATGTTCGGGACTGCTGAAACATGGGAAAGCAAAGGGAAACCACACGTTTGGCTGTGGGTCAAAAGCCTGTATTTCAGGTGAACATCAAAATAGGTGGTACATGGGTGTTCATCCGCCCCAAAATGGAGGCATAGGTTATGACCCATGGCCATTTGGGTTTCATGAAGTTTTTGGAGGCATGAAGGGAATAGTGTCAACTTTCACTCTTCACCTCAAGTGTCCCCATAGGTCCCTTTTGGCCCAAAAGGGATATTGTAAGGTGAGCTTCTTTTAAGGGGAAATGCGGAGAAGCCTGCAGTTTCTGGGCTTCACACTTTTGGGGAAAGCTATTTGAGCGGAAGACTAAAAAAGTGCAGACTTCTTCGGAGCACTCACGTTGTTACGCGGAAACGGAAAGCTTTGGGGAACTGGAGGTCAGTCCCAGCCGGCCTTGGTCATTCCTTATTGGGCTTGTTCCTCGACTTTCCCTAGCGGGTGTTCGTTTCACTCAATTGGTCATTGCAACATTCCTGAAAGTTCGATTTGTGTCGATTTCATACTGGCTGCCTTCAACTGAGCAGTGATTCTAGGCATGTTGAACGTTGAACCCCCCCTCCCAACCCTTGCCCCCGACATCTCTCCCGACCTCTCCCAACTCCGCAAATTCGAGAATTTCTCTCCCGGGCTTGCCGTAACAAAAATAAATGCTGTTGAGACCTCCGCAAGTTCGCAAGAAGTTGAAAACTTGCTGTGGGTTCAATATGGAAAGTCCACAAAGGTTCAACCAAAAAGCTACTGGTACACTCGTCTGGTGCCTGGCCGGGGGCTTGTGTTGCGCATCAACATCTTTTCAGCGCCACTCGACCCGTCGAGAGGCGCTGTTTGGCACTCGAAAGGATTTCTCCGAAGACGAGTTGGCTCCCTCGGGGCATCCATCGAGTTTGGGCAAAAAGAGCATAGAGCAATATGGAATTTGTCGGCTTTAAACGCAGGATCAAGCATTAAGCCTCCAAGGCATCGATCTTTGCTTTGGATGCTGGCAGCGATCGCCTGAATGGGACTTGGGCCAATGGAAAGCAAGAATCTGATCTCCAAGGCTGCCCCTTCCATTGAGTTTCACTTGCGGGTGTGTATTCTTTTGGGGCATTATCTTATCTTTGGGTTGGTATGTGAAGGGAAAGCAAAAGGAAACCAAACATTTGCCGGGCCGCCTCTTTTTTATTCCTAACCATTTGCAAGGGCTCAGAGACGTTTGGCTGCCCGGCGACTGAGCAGCAAGACCCGTTCCGGTGCCATGGCGGAAGGGGACAAAACAATCGACCCATTGCTTCAGGTTGCCATGTTCCAGAAAGCTTTCCGCAAGATCGATGTGAACGGCGATTCCAAGCTGAAGCTGAACGAGGTGGGCAAAGCGCAAAGCAGAGAGTGGTGCTTCCACTCTCGAAGACACTTTTCGGACTTCTTGCAGCCTGAAACCCTTCAGAGCTCCATGTGGAAAGCGGTTCGCCGCATGAACCTTTGGGCCAGTGTTGGGTGCCCCATGAACCACCAATTTATCCCCAACAGCTGAAAGCCAGGGAGTCTTTGTCCAGATAGGCTTTGGGGTAGTTTGGGGATGCTTTCAGGGAGGATTCCAAAAGGTTGCAAGGGGTTCTGGGGCTGTTGGGGATATCGTCTGGGCTTATGTGGGTTCTCGCTATAGCAATTGAGAGTTCAAAGAAAAGTGTCAGAAATGGGACCCTTTTTGTGAAACACACACACAAACGAAGGTGGATTAGCGGTCGGTCAAAGAACCATCATCCCAGGAGGCTTATCCCACTTCTAAATATGCTTAAGTGACCTCAGTGGGTTCAAGCGCTTCAACTGCTCCGGAACAGTATGAAAGGAGAACCAAATAAAACCGCCCATGTTGGAGGTCTGATAAAATCGTTAAAGCCAACCAGGGGCTGCTTCTGGCGGCTGTCAAGAGGCCTTCTTTTAGGGGTGACCGGTCAGGTCACCATCAAACTCAGGGGAAGGTTAGTACAGTCCCACCCGAAAGTAGCTGTCCTTTAGTGTAGACCCCTTTAGTTACCAGTTGTTGCTCGTGACTCAAATGGTTGGCTTCCTTATGCTTCCGATTCAATCACCAAAAGGTGGCTCGAAACATGATGCGACATAGCCCGTTCTGGAGGCTTATTTGGAGACAAACCTCTGGAGACAAACCTCTGGAGACAAACCTCAACTACTTTTTAGACGTTATAAAAGGTATGTCAGTGCTGCTTCAGGGAAGGGTGTGCTTGATAGGGTATTAGTTTTTGTTTTGCTTTGCTGATTATCCATAGTTCCCCCCTTTTGCTGGTGTTATATGTCGCCTTTGGCCTTTCGTGATTTTGACTGATATGCGGTTCAGATGATAAGCCATGTTTCCGTTTTTTGCAGGTTTTACCGTACCACCGTTTTGGGGGGGCCAAGACAGAAGCACGACCAACCTGGAGGTGGTTTGGATGATGGAGAGCCTAAGCATCGACAAGAAGCTGGCGGCAGACCTCATGGCGTTCCTGGACGAGGACGACTCAGGAGATGTGACCTGGGTGGAGTTCGTGCGGGGCGTCAGCAACGGCCAGCCACCCGGCCCGGCTGTTCGCCGTTCGCTCCGAGCCTGAAGGACCCATTTCTACCCCGGGGTCGTTGCAGCGAGTTGTCCAAGATGTTTCGTCGTTTTTTGTTACGCACAAGCCTGGTTTGCATAGGGCAACCCGTGTTTTGTTGGAGGCCTCTGAAACGGCACCTTGTTTGCTCTCTCAAAGCGAACATGCTGATGGGGCGCGCTCAATATTATGTTGGGGGTGTATTGTCCTTTAACCCACAATTCAGATGGTGATGTTGAGGATGTCACTCTAGTGGACATATTACCTCACATATGTGCTGTGGTCAACATACAGCTTTCCTTGGACTTGGTTCATCAACCGTTAGGATTCTAGCTACAAAAGGCCGACAACTAAAGGACTCTAGACAGGTGACGCGCGAACTGCTCAACTGATTTGGATGCTGCCGACGAACACTGAGGATGTTTCTCAAGAGCGTGGAGGTTTAGTTTCCTCTTGGTTTTCCTTGGGTGCATTTTGAAAAACCCTTAAAGCCTAGGGTCCTTCTGGCTGCGAGGTTCCACGTGCTCTTTCCCGAGATCACCTTAGAGGCGTTGGTGGCCATCCCATCCAGCCTGCGCACCCATAAGCTTCTCGGCCGTGAAGCCACGAGCCCTCAGTTTCCCATGCCCGAAAGCGGGGGAACTCGTCATCTTGACGGCGCAATGGGTGTTCAACCTGAAAATGCCCGGTTGCCCTCAGTTGGGATTTTGGATTTGGTGGGTTGGAGATTTCAAGCCCTAGTTCTTGAAGCAGAACCCCAACCCAAACCACATCCATGACGCCAGATAAGGGGAAGCCAACACCTAACTCATGGTAGAGACAGTTTGCGTGGATGAGTATTCTTCAGTATGGGGCAGATGAAGTTTTGCATGTGTTCCGCCTCGGCTACGCGGCGACTGTCCAGAAGGTGCAACCTCTAAAGGAAACCCAAACGGGACGGGCAGTTTCATGATTGGTTGCTGAAGGAGCTCTTGCGAGGAGTCTCTCTACCCAGGGCCAGTCAGGGCCATGTTCCATTTCTTGTGCCCATTTTTCTTCCGATGTCGCACGAAACAGATGGGCCCCATGAAATTATGAAATGGTACCGTTGTGTACCGTTTGCTGCTGGGCAGAGGATAAGAATGTCCGCGAATAGCTTGGCAACTCGGGGTTGCTACGTTTTTTTCTTCTTCCCGTGACCTTAAAGGACCGAGCTGTTTTCTTGTTTCACAGGGAACTCCTTTGGGTTCGAGACCTTCAAGACCGCAAGGATCATCGGTGCGGAGGAGGAGGCGGAGGCCATCAACAACCTGCCGGTGGTAGAGAAGTCCCTCTACTGGATGCTCTCCTTCATGTACGGCAGGCTGGATTTTAGGACGATGGTGTCTCCCGGCTCCCGGGTACTCGCCTGCAGGGTTTTTTCCTCAGTGGTCACAAAGGACGTTCGATGGCTGCAAGAAATGGTGTCGCCTTTGATTGGCCGATGATATCTCCGCTTCACAGGTTCAGCCCTGATGGTTTTTCCCTTGCTTCACAGCTGGGATCGGGGGGGGTTGGTAACCTATGGTTTACCAGGCTGACGCCCGACTGCCGCCGACCCCACACCAGTTTGCTGTCGGGGTGTCCGGGAGGGCTGACAGGGTCTAATTTCGTGAGGTGCGAAATGTTGACTTTTGCACCTCACAAATTTATTGGGGAATCAGGCTGAGTTCGGGCGGTCGGCATGGTCGGTCCGGTTGGGATGATCGGGATGGCTGTGAGGCCGGGCTGGCAGGGTCTAATTTTGTGAGCGAAATGGACCAGGGAGGAGTCGAAGAAGCAAGGGCCAGCCTCAGGGCCAGAATCCACATTTTAGGAAAATGAATCCCTATGGCGCCTGGTCCCCTCCTTGGTGTGAGTAGGCTGACAGCACGCGGGGTCGGCGGATTTATCTTCATCCGGAGTCGACATTGGTGTGGACTTTTGGGTGGGGATTCATGGTGGAGGAGTGGAGGAGTCTCCATGTAGGGGTCCCGGTGAACGGGAAAGGTTTTGCGAGTATGGTTCCATTTTAGTTTGGTGAAAAGCATGGAACCCACACTCCCAAGCAGACCCGGAGAAGCCAATACATGTCTATCTAAGTTTAACCAGCTTCAAACCCCTTCCGGGTTTCCGGACGTCAGGCGTTTTTGGTCGCGAGGTCTGCACCCCCGGTGATTGCCGACGAGGACGAGTCCAATCCCTCCTCCCCGGACAGCTGTTTGTCTCCCAACATTCGCCCGTCCATGATAGCCGGCAGCCCGGCAAGGGGTTCGAAGCGCCCGATGTCGCGATGGTTTTCGACATCTGTCGGAATGTTGGGGGAAGAGCGGTTTGTTCGCGTTTCGGTTCCCCTTGCCCTTGCCCGAGATTCCGTTGGGTATTGTTTCAGGAAGCATAGGAGCCCTGCGTGGGGAAGGGAAGGGTGGGGGGTGGGATTTGGAGAGGCAGATGTTTTGGAATGAGACGCTTGTGTGCTGATCTTTGGTTGGCTTTAGCAGTTCGCAGTGTTGCATCATGCGGCTTCCAGGAAGGGCCACCAAGTAATTCGGGTGTTTCTCAAAATAGGCATGGGTCTGAAGATGGTTGGTTTTCTGTTGGCATCCCAGTCCCAAATCCATTTGAGAAGCTCCCATTTGCTCGAGTGAAGTCGTACTCCGACTCTTGGGGAAGGCTTTCGGCCTGGTTTTCGAAGCAAGGGCAGAGTTTAGGGACTCTATAGGCACACCAGGGATCTCCGCCCCTCTGCCACTTTTTGGTGGCTTCGATGTGAGCCCCGTTTTGCAAATATATATGCAAGACCCAACGAACACCTCTTCTCAAGGTTTGCGCCCCATGTGCCTCCCACGTTCTGAAGCTCTTGTGAGCCTGGCGTTCACGCGAAACACCGAAGCCGCAAATTGTGAGACCCGGGCTATGGAAGCATTTGTCAGCTGAAACCTCGCCCAAGACAGCTTTCTCTTCTTTGCTAAAATGTGTTTCCTGAATTTCCTGCAAAGAACTGCCGTGAGGTTGTCTCACCCTTTCCCAGTGCCTTGAGGCCTCGAAACCTTCAGTCGCTGAGGTTTGATGCAGCAGAGTGCGACTGACGACGGAAGTGGCCTTGGCTCTTCCAGCTCTTCTAGCGACTCCGAAGACACCACCTCCACCTCCGACTCGGACCACAACGCCAACACCAACTTGGCCCTGGAGTTACCCTCCATGGTGAGGTCCCAGAAGGACAGAGATATTGGGAGATATTGACCCTTCCAAGGTGAGTCTTTGATAGTGACAGGAGCTCCGGACGTAAGAATGGAGAGATAGAGCCTGAAAGACAAGGAACCACCTCTCTGACAAACTGTCCTTTCTGCTCGTGCTTAGCCTATTTAGTTTGAGGTGAGTCTCCGAGAGTGGAGAAAGGAAAAGAGACGGGAAGCTACCACATGACAAATTAAAGCAAACAGGAATCATATGTTGTTGTTACTTTACTCATGTGCTTGAGGGTTTGAGTAGTTAGGATGCGGTTGCAAGCTACTTTTAAGTAGCGTTGCTTCATTGTCATAGCATCATGTTTAGGCCTATTGTGCTCTTTCCAAACGCAGCTCGATGTTTGGAGTGAAGGCTTGAGGCCTAATTGCTACTGGACTAAGCCTCACTGGAGATTGTGTTTAGTTGAGGGCAACAGCTGAAGTGGGGAACCCAACAGTTCCAACGCGTTCGAACTTTCGGAGTCTTTGTATCCTCCGAATGGCCAAGCTTGCATGGGCGTAGTTGACAAGCCTGTTCAACTCTGTCAGTTTCGCCATGCGGATCATGTGCTTATAGCGACCCCAAAGCTGATCAGGTAATGTTGGACCTGCTTTAATGTGACCCCCCGAACAATGGAACCAGTCAGCGGGACCCTCTTTAGGGAAACCCTGGGGGTCTGGGTGGGACTTTCAGATTGATTTAGTATTGGTAGACTTGAGTTTCCATTTGATTTAGTATTGCTGGAGCTTCTTTTTGAGATTTGGAACTGAGTTTCCATTTGATGTAGTATTGCTGGAGCTTCTTTTTGAGATTTGGAACCGAGTTTCAAATTGATTTAGTATTGCTGGAGCTTATTTTTGAGATTTGGAACTGAGTTTCCATTTGATTTAGTATTGGTAGAGCTTCCTTTTGAGATTTGGAACTGAGTTTCCATTTGATTTAGTATTGCTGGAGCTTCCTATTGAGATTGTGAACTGAGTTTCAAATTGATTTAGCATTGGTAGACTTGAGTTTCCATTTGTTTTAGTATTGCTGGAGCTTCCTTTTAGGATTCGGAACTGAGTTTCCATTTGGTTTAGCTTTTATTTGGGAATTTCAGGAACCACCTAAAACCAGTTGAACACTAAAGAGGACCCCAAAACAATCACACTAAAGAGGATCAGGGTTGGTTGTGGCCCTGTGTGTGATTGATTCACCTTGCTTTTTTGTAAAGAAGTTATCATAGATTTGATGGTTTGGGCACAACTTGGCAAAATGGATTTCCCAGACCGCAGGCCTTTAAGCTTTGAGCTGGGGAGAGCTTAGGATGAGCCACCCTTAAAAGTAAAAGGCTCAGGCTTTGGTTTGGGAATTTCAGGAACCCCACAAAAGCAGTTTAACACTAAAGAGGGCCCCAAAACACTCACACAAAAGAGGATCAGGGTTGGTTGTGGGCAACCCCCTTTGTGTGATTGATTTACCTTGTTTTATGATGGTTTGGGCACAACTTGCAAAATGGATTTCCTAGACCTCAGGCCTTTACCCTTTGAGCTGGGGAGAGCTTAGGATGAGCCACCCTTAAAAGTAAAAGGCTCAGGCTTTGGTTTGGGAATTTCAGGAACCCCCCTCAACAGCAGCTAAGGGTTAGTTTAGCCTGAGCCCGGCCTGAGCCTGCCCAGGCCAGAGAGTTGAAAACTAACAAGCCTGTGTTTTTTGTTTTTTGGGGAGGGGAAAAACATGCCACAATAGCGGACGCCTAAAACAGTCACAGGATCCTGAATTACGAAAAACATTTAAACAATAGAGGCGACTTTCATTAAAGCGGGTGTAACATTACTTTAATTTCATTCCTGGCAGATTTGTTTAGACGACGACTCAGTCAACCCCAAAGGTGAGACTTGCATATGTCCGCTGAATTTCTTCAGGGCAACCGATATCGAACGCATGTTGGGCCAAGGAGCATTTGCCGAAAGGATTGGCCTTTGACTCTGCAAGGACCGGAGCGCGGTGGTGATCGTGCGAAAGGATGCCAAGGACCCTCAGCAGGCCTACTTTGGGTTGGCTCATTGGCTGGGGTTGGGGCGGGTTGGTGGTTTGCCTGGGTGAGAATTGGATTCTTGCTTCAATGCCACTCTTCGGCCATGTTTTTTGCGACTCATGCTTCACGGGACCCTCTTTTCCACAGCATGCTAGCAGCTAGCACCCAAGGCCAACCGCCCATGTGCTTGTTCCTGGGGTTGCCATTGTGTCAGCCCACGTTCTTCCTGGAAGATACAGACAGACGTATTTTCTTTGACTTCTGGGGTTCCAAAAGGAAACCAAAGGCAAACCAAGAAGCCCATGTCAAGGTTCCACGTTCCATGTCTGACCCGAGTTGCTCGGAAGTGGCTGGCGCTTGGCAGGCCCAGCTCGCAAAGGTGCGGCGCGGGAAGAACCCCGTGGTGGTCACCCGGAAGTTTGCGAAGAACCCGGCGCCTTGGGAACGGATTCGCTGGGCGAGGAAACGCATGGCACTGGACTCTTGAAACTCCCATATCCGTTTGCACACGTTGCGGTCTGCCGAAATGGCCATCTGCCGCAACCAAAAGCCGCGTCCTTCGGGGATGGGAAAAGCCCTGGAAGCGGAGCGAGGTGAAGAGCTCTTGATCAACTCAAGCGAGGTGAAGGGCGCTTCTGAATGCGCTGGAAAGTTTTTCGGCTTTCCTGGAAAGGAAGCAGCGGGATTGAACAACAAAACAACAAAAACTCAAACCTGGCGTACTTTTTCCCGGGCGCTTCACGATGTAAGGCCTTCTCGGCGATTTAGGCGTTTTACGTGGATGTGCGTGTTCGTGCGTTTTTGTGCGGGCGCTGTGCTTCTTTTTGTGGGCGTTTTGCCTTGCTTAGGCGTTTGCGGGAATTTGCGGGCACAAGCAGAAACTACAAGAGAAAAGTACTGGTTGGAATGTCCAGGAATGTCCAGGAATGTCCAGGAATGCCTTTTTCGGGCCCGAGAAAAGCTGGCACGTTTTCTTGTCCTGAGGCCTGCCCACTTATTGACCTGAAGCAGAAAAGGAGGGTGAATCATTGGCCAGTATTTGGCCTGCACGAACTAGACCCTCGGGTGCACCCGAGATAAAGGACCTCGTAAACGTGGACTTGCGATGGAGCCTGGCGGGGACGTTCACCACTAGCACTGCAAGCATGCAGGGCAGAACCCGGGCGACCGACTTTCAAGGTTTCACAAGCAGGGGACTTCCACAATGTTTGTCTTTTTGGTTGCCCATGTTGCCCTTTGACAGCAACCCGAAGTTGGGGGGGCCAAGAAAAAGTACAACATGCATGTGTTATCAGTTTTGTTTTTCAGGATCCCATTTTGGTTTGTGGTGCGTAGACAGACCGAAGACCGAGGGGAAAGCACACATTTTCAGGCTTCGTTTTTGTGGAGACAAACACAATGTTAGCAACTGGTGCTTGGTCGTTTGATGCGATATCGTGGATGGACAAAAAGCCCTTCGCACCAATTGGAATGGATGAAACCCACGAAAACTGGGAGAAAAGTGCCAAGCAACTGCGCGAAGTCGGCCGTGTGCATCTAGGTCCCCCAGTAGTGCCCTTTTACTCTTTTTTTGGGGAGGGTTCCCCTACTAAAATAGAACTACAGAAAATAGTTGGTACCCTTATTCTAACCTCTCTACTGAAGGACCGGCATCGTATCGCCAGCTGCTCCCATGCCGAAAGTTCACTCAGGATGCGGTGCAGACGGCCTTGGTGCAGCCCAAGCTGCCGGTGGACCTGGCGGTGGCGCGGCCTGTGAGGCGACCGGCCGTCTGGTCCTGTGAATGCCAATCTTGCTAGGAATCGCCTGGGGATGCAAACAAGATGTACAATATTATGATATATATATATATACATATATTCATGTATGTATATGTACTAGCCATCCACATCAAGGATACCACTGCAGTTTCTGCTATTTGTTTGTGCATATCATGTATATATATATGTATTGTGTGTGTATACATATAAAGATAACACTAAAAAACACTTGCCCTTCCATCAAGCACAGAATGGAGACAACCTCTTTCTGGGAAAGGGTTTATGCACTTCCATGTTGGAGGGCAGGTAGATGTTTTCAAAGGGGTGCAGGCTAAGACGATGGTTCGGGGGATTCAATTTGGAAGGGCACCCCAATTGTGTTACATATGCATATTGGTGCTGCTGTTTGACCCAGTCTTGACCAGCCACATCAATTGTCATTGTTGAAATTGAACATGGAGGCAGAAGGCAGGTTGGGTGATCCATCCAGCCACCCATCCGTCCGTCCGTCCATCCATGCATCCATCCATGTTTTTGCTTTGGGGCATGCCAGAGTTCAGCTTGGCAACGTTTCAAAGCCTGCATATAGCGTGAGTTGCCGGTGGTTCAGAACCAGGATAACGTGAATGCGCTCAGCGCACATATAAAATATCCCTCGACGAGACACATCCGAACATGAGTGTTCTTTGCGCTAGTCTCGTTCGATCGGCGTGTGTGGGATACGCATCAACCTCAGAGGTGCTGGAACATTTGAAAGGATTCCGCGTGGTCCTCAAAACATCAGGGAAGCTGACAGCGGGACCTGGATCCATGTTAGAAAGAGGGTAACCACTTGTGTTTGTGGTAATTACCGTTCTTGTGATCGTTGTCTTTCTTGGGCACCAGGGCTACAATTTTGTGGTTTGAGATGCTGCAATCGTTTCCATACACAATACGTCAGCTTTTGTTGTTACAAGCGATGTTTCCACGTACGATGTCCATTTTCCCTGCAGGTTAATATGGAGCCAACAGCATACAAGTTGAATAGAATCTCTTTGTAGGATCCTTTTTTGGCTCCATTTGTTGGGAGTACCAAGTGCATATGGATGCACTAAATACGTTCCGAAAGTAAACAGCAATACTCAACCGCACTCAACCAACGGCAAATCGCGGTGAATTCGAGAGTTTCCTTTTACCCCTTGCAATATTTTGGGCATCCACCGTAATTCCCGTTTCACTGGCAGGAGCCCACCGCATTTGGCGATGCCGCGGCCAGCTTTTCAGGAGATTTGCACATACTCCAGCTGCGTGGATTCCATTCAGGAACCACCCAGCCCTCACCCATGAACGGAAACTCTCCAGGAAAGCTTCACAATTCGTGCAGTGGAGTACGGGCCCTAAATGTCTTGTTTGAAAAGTCGGGGAGATCCTGGTTGCCGTTGAAAGAAGCCCAGCCGACAGGTTTTTTGAGGAGCCTTTCTGATTCAGATAAGCTTCATATGGTTGCACATCCACACTGCCAGGATCTGAGTGCGTCCTATGACTGGGTTGCTCAACATTCACCCTTAATCAAAGGATTGTACGTAGTGGCAGTGTTGTTTCCTCGTTGTGGTGGCTCAAATGGCAAATGGTTTCCTCTTACGTTATCCCTTAATCTCCAATCAGACCAACCCAACAAACAACGGCTTGTCTCTATATTTGTTCACATCGAAGTCGAATTCTTCCAAGCAGATTGTTCCACCAGTCTTGTCTCTAAACTTGGTGGCTCCCAGCCATCCGGTTCCTTAGCCAATTAGCCTTTTAGTGTTTAGTGGTAGTTTCCCCATTTAACCCACTAAAAGTGAGTCACTTTCAGCGGGGGATGAGAAAACGGGCAGCCCATTGAAGTTGTCGCTAAATGGATCCAGAGTCTCACCTCGCCGTTTTTTTCAGGAGCCAGACGCGGAGCAGCCGCAGAAGCAGGCGGGACAAATGGAGTGGATGGGACCTTCTGGCCCGAAGAATCGGACCTCGAAATCTGCAGGTGTTTTGGTTTGAAGGCTTTGGTTGCCAGTTGAGTTGTGGTGTTCCAGCTTTTAAGGATTTTTCTGAGGCTGGATTCTTGCAGGGTCAGGCCCAGTCGTGGCCAGGCTTCTTATCTCCAGTTTGTGCGAGTCAGGTTGCACGCCGAACGGGGTGATCTCCCTTTGGGTTCTCTTCAGACACCTCCCAGATCCTGGTTGCACCCTTGCGGCAGCGAGATGTCCTGTGCGCAGACAGTGGTTTGGCCGGCCAATGTTCAGTTGTGAGGATTCCTGAGCTTTGGGGAGCGCGGAGAGGCCAAACAAGACCTGGACGGTCTGCATTCTCTGGTGTCCTTCATAGGTTTTTTGTGGTAGACTTGATGCGAAGCACTGTCAGCACATTTTGTAGGTGCACCCCGGGACCAAGAAAGGACGCTTGGGCCGGCATTTCACGACCACGGCGAAGCAGGTGCAGTTTTCGCCCTCGCTGCAACAGCCGCCATGGGCCGAGACGGGTCGCCTGGGGTTGGCGAGCTTGATTCTTTTGGGGGATTCCGGAGCCATTACCCTAAATAATGTTGTCATGGACACATCTTCAAAGGGTCATGGAGACTCCAGGAAGTTTCAAAATCTGAACTAAGAGATCCCTGGAGACTCTAGGTACATTTGCAGATGGTTCAACAGGCATGAGGTTGCAACAAGACTCGCTGCGACCAAAGTCGTCCCAATGAGCGGTCCCCCCATTTATTTGCGTTTGCGACCAGGGTCAGAAATTGGTGGTCCTCTTCCTGTTCCATCCATGGGCCATCGTTCGACCATCTTCTAATTCGCCCGCCCTTGGTCCTAAGGTCCAGGATGGGCCGGCGACAGAGTGTGGTTGGCGCGATGACTAACATGCCAGCTGCCCAGATCCTCAAGGGACCAGCGAGCACCAGGCGAGCACCAAGCCAAGAAGGGTTCTGGGGCAACCCTGGTAAGCACCTTTTCCAAGGTTCCAAGAGCCTTTGGCTGGCCCTAGGTTCTTCCCCGTTGATTCCTGCCATTCGCGGCAGCTCGAGCCTCTTGCAGTGATGTTGCCTTCATTGCAGTAAGAACAAAGGGAACAAATAAAGGATTGGCTGCCCACTAGAATGGTTTGTTTAATTGCCCCCATCATACTCTGTTGCAACATTCATGCGATTGCGCAAGGGTCCTATTCAGGAGGACGGCAGTCTGCTAACCCTTGTGTCCGCTTCCATGATTGTTGGAATGGGCATGACCTGGTTTGCTTACCCTGGGAACCAGCATAGTGAACCCTGGCTCCAGCACAGGAATCGAAGCTTCCAGGTGTTTCATCCAGCCCCCTTGAAAGGCAAAGAACGAGCCCCAAGAGCTGCTTCTTCCCATGTCCAAACCCCCCGTGGCCGGCTGAGCGCAGAGCCCAGGCTGCAGGGCTGGAAGTTTGGCACCAAGCAGCCCACCATGTCGCTGGCGGCACCTTGGGAGTTAGGGGACATGTGCGTCCCTGGTTTTGACGCACCGGCTGGAGTGTGAGAAAAGGTGAGGGCCCAAGGATTTCCCTTTGATTCATTGATACCATCCAAAGGATCCCTCAAAAGGGCAAGCCGATCTGCGTGATTTAGATTTATCTACACGTGAATGTATGAGGCCTGCAAGTGGACATGTCAATTTGTTGAGATCAGGATGGCTTGTGTGGCCCATGTCAAACAGCAGTTCTCGTCTTTTGCCCTTGGCCAACTGCTCGAAACATCTCCGAGGACGCTGTGTCCTCCATGCGGTCGATGGAAGTGAAGGCGCAAAGACTTTCAGCCGTTCGTCCTGTGCGAAGACCGGCACAAATGGCATGTTCCTACGTTCCCAACTCACCTTTTGGGGCAGGTTTAGGGAGGAATGCCAGTTTGCGCAGGCGTTTGACTTAAATCCGCAACCTGTAACACATTCCTGCGAGTTTTGGGGATCGCTCCGCTTGCCTGGGGAGTAGTTCCTCGTTCCGAACGTTGAGCAGCGCACTCCAAGTGCCCCGTTCGAAACCTTAAGGTGCGCTTAAGGTGCCCTTTGCTCCATGGCTATGACCGTGTGGCCAGAGGTAGCGAACCCACTCTCTCTCTCTCTCTCTGCAAAGGGCACCGGTGTGGCAAAGGGCACATTTGGTTTCCATCCGATGAAGAGGATGTCCAGCGACTGCGGATGCGACGAGTCCCGTCAGGAGAAGAACAAAGCCCATGTTCTCACGGAAGCCAAGCGCACCGCCATGTGGCGGTGTGCTTATGCCGGGAAGCCGAGCGAAAAAACGGCGCTTCCAGTGGTTCAGTGGATTCTACCCTATGTTGCTCGGCTTTGTCCGTGGGTTCCTCGTATTATTATTTTTACTAAAAAGGGGCCTTGGGAAGACCACCTTTAGTGGCAAACAAAAAGTGTGTTTTGTTGTTGGCCGATCCACTCAGAAAATGAGCTTTTGTTTGCTGGGTGTCCCACTAAGCATGGGAGTATAACCAACCACAAAGGGCTGCAAATCTTTCTCTACCAGGGTCACTGGGCGACTGGGAGCGTGTGCGAAGGGGCAGGCAAGAGCAGGGACACTGCGCAATTGCATGGTTCAGTGCCACAAAGTCTTCTCCAGGTGTTGTGTTTTTGCGACTTTCGGGTGAAACATTATTGGTATTCTGCCTTGTACGTTTTGATCATTGATCGTTTTTTTTGGTTGTTCAAACGTCCACGTGAGTTCTGTGGGTGTGTTATTTGCTGGAAGCATTTAGATGGTTTTGAGATAGAGGATGCCTTCTCTTTTCCATATCCACAGGGGCAACTCTGCTGATTACATGGGTCAATGTGGATTCTTGTTGGTGTCCACCCATCCCCTTAGATGTTTAGCTTTTTAGTGTTTAGTGGTTGCATGTCCATTTGACCCACTAAGAATTTTCCACTTTTAGCGGGGGGATGATGGTCAAACCACTTATTCATGGTTGTTGTTGGGCAACATTTTAATTTTTTGCTTATTGTGATTTAGTGGGAAATCCCCACTTAACTTCTAAAAGTTAATTTGTTGCTCCCCTTCCAACGTCAACCAAGTATTGCTTCTTTGAAAAGGGACCTCAAAATTGGGAACCGTCAAGTTGTTCAAAGGGAGTCACCCATTCGGGGTACCCATTCGCTTTGGGGAGCACAGTTCTTTCTCCAAGGGGCAACACCACAAAGTGGATAGCCTTCCTCCGATTTGCCTTTGAATCATAACATAATCACAGAAGGATTACCCCTCACCACTTTTTTTGCGCACCGTTTGCAGCTACTCAAAGTATACCAAGGAGGACAAACGAGCTCACCGGTACAGGTGCTTTACTTTGGATTCTTGGTGTTCAGTTTGTCAATTGTGGTGGGGGAAGAACGACAAAATGATTACTCATTTTTAGCCGGTCACAACAAGGGTTCTTGATTTGTTGGTAAATGATAGAAGTTACCTTGCCTCCAAACGACTTGGCACCTGAAAGGGGATTCCTTTGAGAGGGAATTGGTACCTTCCCACCGATGCTACATTGGTCTTTACATTGCTGGACTTGGCTTACTTGTTTGTTTAGCTTCTACCTGTTTTTGTGTTTCCATCATTTTCCCATTCAACTAGCAACCACGTAGCTTTTTGTTGCTGGGGGTCTAAGTCTGGTCAAGGTGCAGATGTTCTGCCGATTCTTTTAAGATCTTTTCGGAGACACCGCGACGGCCCTTTCCAGGGTGCAGTGCTGGCCGGGATTCTGGCCGGAGTGGGCGCAGCCTTCTTCGCGCAGGCCGTACTTTGAACTTCGTGGTATGTGTTGCCTGAATGCTCTTTGGGTATTTCCCCTCTAACTTTTTGTGAAAATCAATATTTGTCCACTAGCCTGCCAAAAGTCAAGTTTCGGCTTCAGACTTCCTGCGTCGACTTGGTCGGGTTGCGTCCGCGAATGGTGCCATGACAGCACATTCAGATCGCATGCACATGCATGCACCTTTCAGACCGCCTTGACACATGGCGTGGACGGTCTTGATTCGATTCTACCTTTTTTGCCGGCGACCATGCGTGATTTGAGTGGTTGCAGCTTTGTCCACACTTGGGCGGTGCAGGCTTCTTTTTCATACTGCCAAGAAGAGTGTGCAACTTGGACAGCGAGGTTTTTACTTGCGAACGCTTGTAGTTGACCGCAAAGGCCGTGCGTTGTCTTTCCACCAGCTGACTTGAGCACTCATGATCAGCGTTGAGGTTGGGAGGGTGGTATCAGGCGCGTGGCCTTAGACCTCGTCGGGGCTGTAGCAGGCGACTCGTCCGATCTTGTTGCACAAAACATACAGAACGTAGACACCTACTGGAGTGCTGCAGTACTGTTGCTCCTGGCTTTCATAGAATGGACGTTTCTGGATATTCATGCCCCTGTGTCTTGTCACAGAGCCTGACGTCTGGAAGTGTCTACACTTTGTCAGATCGGAGTGTATTGACATTGAGTGTGACCAAATCCCTGCATTCGATCTGCGTGAGTAACCGCACACGGCCGAATTTCCGTTGAGCCAAAACCTCCGCCACAGCCCAACTCAACCGAAACCCCTTGGTTTTGGGACGCTTATGCGCGCGCATCCCAGGCTCGTAGCATTGCCAGCATTGCACAGGGCCTTGCGACATCTTTCGACTTTCGAGTCCGGCGTTTTGCTGCCGACACATGGTCCCAAGCTCGCTTCCAGATCAGAACGACGCAGTATATATATATATTTGGCTGTGGGTCAAACCAATGGTACCATTTCGGGGTAGGTGCACCACCCATTTTAGTACCTATTTTAGCGGGGATTGGTTGATGTTCACTGGGGGTACGATTTGGATTTTGACCCAGGCCATATTTGACTCTGGCCTTGTAGTCGTGGGGCACGATGCCTCCCCAGTAGCGCTCTCACTCACAAACATCTGCTGCAACCTGTTCGGGTGGATGAGGCAGTTGCGACAAGCGTGCGACCAACCTAGAAGTAAAGCTTTTGGGGCAGGTGGCCTGGCAGGTGGCCTGGCCGGGGGAGATAGAGAGCAAAAGAGGAGGATGCCCTGAAAGTAGAGCTGGGGGTGGAGCCAGTCTCGCCGCGTGCAGCTTTGGGGGGTTGACCGCCCTTTTGCGCCCCGACCCATTTTAAGACAGCCGATCCTACGGCTGGGGCATGCAGACAGCACACAGGGTGATGGAAGGCGCGGTTTCGAGGTCAGCTTGAGAGGTGATCAAGAGGGCCTTGTAAGGAGTTGTGTATTTGGTAGGTGACTCCGCAAAATATTTGCACTAAAAACAATGTCTGCGCTAGAGGCGCCAAAGCATTTTGACTTGGTGGGCTTTCCCCACTGGCAAACATCTGGGTTGTTCAAAGCCAATCCTGAATCATTATGCTTGGGTTGTAGTGACGTCCCACTACGGAGTACAAATATTGCGGATCACTCCATTTTGAACTTTGAGCAGCCCAGAGTATTCTGCCTACTGACATGGTCGCATTAAAAAGTCCAGATATGCTGATGGGTTGTTTTCCACACCCCATGGGACCGAACATCGGAGTGGCTGCAATGAAAGCCTGCGGGTGCCGCAGGCGCTGAATGACTTCACCAGCACCATTGTGGATGAAGAGGAGGACTGGCTAGGTGCGGCGGGTGGGCTCCATGGGCTACAAGCGGAGATGTGTTACCTCGGCTTAAAAGAAGGACCATGCCTTTAGATGTTTTGTTTGCTCTGAACATCTTGTCGCGTGGCCCAACCCTTGCGTGTGAAGCTTCCAAAAGGGATGCATCCCCCGGCAAAAATACATACTCAAGCGGTGTCCTTTTGGTTCTCCTTGAAATTAGCTCTGAGACAGGCACCTGCAAGCATGAATGGAATTATGTGCTGCGTTGTTCTCGACTTGCACACGTAAGAAGCAGCGCCCTTGTGCTTTTGAGCGGATCCTCACGCTTTGCCAGCCTGGACCACCATCGCGTGTACATTTTCCCTGGCCCCGAGCTCGGCCAGGGTTGTTTGCAACTCTGACTTTGGAGCCGGTAGCGTTGCGGCAGATGGTTTAGTGCTGGTTTCTGGGCTGGTTTCGAGTGGGTTGGTCTAGGGGTGGTTCAGGGTGCCACACACCACCTACTTGAAAACACCCAAGTGGGCTTAACCACGGCCATGGCTGTGGCCAATTTTAAACCCACTCGAAACCAGCCCAGAAACCAGAGAATCTGCACGGACTATGTTCTCTTGACCAACGCAACGAGCGATTCCAAGGTCTGCTTCCTGCAATATACGAGTCAAAGCTTAGGACGTCTTCAGCTGATCTACAAACTTGTCTGCAGAAGCTTCCTAGTTTGAAGCACACATGAACCATGGACCATGATTAGTGCAGAAGAATGGGAGCAATCTAAAAAGCTTCAGGACCTCGTTCACGAAGGCCTTGAGATATGGACCCCTTCCAGTTGTGTGGTTTCATGTTCCAGGTGACATACAGCGAATCATGCGATACAAAGGAGTCATATATTTTTCAGATCTCGAATCGTTTCACACAGTCCAGTTTCATCCCGTCTGTTGTTTTTGGGCGTGGCGGATTTCCGATTTCTCTGGCTGAGAGAAAGCTGGATGGTGCGTTTGGACAGCTGGTGCTCAATCCCCATTCAAATTATAACAAGCTCACCTTTCCCCTTTTCGGGATGCCGATTTTTCTCGTTTGTGAGATATATTCCCGCTGAAGGAGGATCTTACATAAGTCGTGTTTGCACAATTCGGCCGTGGCTCAAAAAGCTCGTCCCAACATGAAATCCTGGCAAATGGAAAGGTGGACTAACACCTGCGTATCCCTCTTGAATTTTGAGCCACACCCATACACCAAAAGAACTGCGGAGGTTTGGAGCGTTTTTTTTTTTTGCCGAGCGCTCCCTGAGCTTAGATCTGGTCCTTGGCCGAGATGGTGGTGTGCTGCGTCGCCGGGATCCCAGGACTCGGCCCGATGTTCGTGGGGGGTTGGATTCGGGGGGGATCCTTCCCCCTTTCGATGAGGTTGGGACAGGGTGTTGGATTGAGGGAGGGTCCTATTTTGTTTGGATCCACTTTTGGATGATGTTGGGAGGCTTTTGAAAACGGAACCCATTTACGCTTCGGGGGGAAACAAAAACAAGCAGTTGGGTAGCCTGCAACTTTCCAGCCTTTTCTGTATGATCCGGTTGCCGTGAGCAAACGGATTCAGTTCACCGTGCTGGCAGTATGGTGTGAGACAGTATGCTTTGCAGGGAGAACTGGAGTTTGGCGCCCCACTGGAATGGTGTGGGTTGATGTTTCCTTTGCCCATCAAACGTGGCATTGCTGAAAGGCATCTGCTGCGACCCACGTTTGTGTGGACCTTGGGCACGTGTGATCTCGACCACTAGAATGAGCTTCCCAGGTATCTCAGGCGCAGACTCATGGCAGAGCCACCCTGTGCATGTGTTTCTTTGCGAGTTGGCTTACAACTCTCTCAGTGCTTGCTTTGCAACTGGAATCGCTGTGTGGGAGTCACAGGGAGAAACAAAAGACAATCAGACCAACAACCACACAAGCAAGCAAGCACCCAGTTTGACGCATCACAGCACACAATAAGCAACCCCAAACACAACCCCGCAGCTTATTCAAGCAACGAAGACTGTGACCGGCAAAATGGCTCGAGCTCAGACCTGCTCCGAGGCAGCCCTCGTGGCCGCGGTGAAGATGACGCGGATCTGTGGGATTCTGCCGGCGGCCTCGGATCTTTTCTTTCCGCAGCGGCGTGCCCGAAAAGACCAGGGAGGGACCCTTCCCCATGCGTATGCGGGCTATGTTTTGTTTTTGTTCTTTTCTTTTTTTTGTGGGCGAGGGTCGAGTGGTTATTGGTTGCCCGCTGGAAGGCAACGGGCAGAACTACATGCAGGGTTTGCCGCGCAAGCGTTTGGCTTCAGCATACCTTCAATCTCGACCACAGCATCCCACCTTTCGGGGCAGAGTCTGTGTTTGTTTCAGTTTTCCAGACGTTGTCATGTCAGGTTCACTTGGTAAGCATGGTACGGTGGGAGTCTCTCTTGGGGGAGCTTTAAGAAGGCAACTTATTAGTATCTCCACCCCAAATGAGTGTCTGGAACGGTGGGCGCACACCCCACAAAGGGCCGCTTCCCCATACTTGTCTCCTTTGTGTGTTGTACAGGCAAATCAATGTATTTAGGGGCCGCACCTACATTTTGCCCGGTGCGGACGTGAGCCACAAACAAAGCCCAGGCAGATGACAGGTAAGACCAGGTAAGAGACACTCCCAGCCAGAAAGAGGTGCACATATCCGCCCTAATCCTTCACATGTCTTTGTGCAGACCATGACTCAAATAACCTTCAATCCCATTAGGTGGGACCAGCCAGCCCCAACAAAATGTTTCTTTTCCCAAGTCCAAATCCCCCTGGTACGGCAACCAAAAAGTGCTTGGGACCCGGGTGCTCGAGCTTTTTCGTGGGATTCCGTGGGCAACCCGTTTGGATTCCAGTCGAGGCTAGTTCCCATGGACAAGGAGCGGGCGATCCTCGCGGGTTCGCTCGCCAGAGCTGCCGGGGGCTATGGGAACGGGCGTTGGGAACGGGCCGTCAAATCGACATGGTGGTGAAGTTCACATCACGGGCACCCTCAGCAAAGTCGCACGACAAGGGGCTCCGCTGGGATCATTATTTGGGTATGTGTCTTGGCAGAGATGGTTCCACAGAAGAGTTCCATTGTTTTGAGGAATACCATCACAAATGGTTGCCGGGCATACATCCCCTAAATGATGTCCAAAGGGTCCCCAATTCAAATTCATGCCCAATTTGCTTTCCAAACGAGAACAAGTGACCCTCCAAGAATTGGGTGTCAAAGGTCTTTCTTGGCATTTGTTTCAGATGTTTTGCAGGATCAGAAACGGCATCCGTTGTTTTGGTTCCCTTGACTCGAAGCGCCACCCAAATGTTTGTGCGTGCGTGCCCAGCACATTTGGTCTCTTTGACCTCATCCTTGTCCGTGTTCGGAAGGGAGGTCGCAATCCTGGGTTTCCCTTTTGCTTGGTGGCTCCCAGCCATCCCCTTAAACTGTTTAGCTTTCTCGGGTTTTGTGGAGGTTTCCATTTCACCCACAAGTGAAACTCTTAATTTTTGGCAGGGGATCTGAGGACAGCCCAGTTTCGGAAGACGGGTGTCTTTCGAGGATTTGGTCTTGACACCGTCCATCCGGAGTCTCCGATGCCAAGGCTTTGGAGCTGGGCCATCCCAGGGTGCGGACCTTCGGCATCGACCCCCACAAGCGGGCGGGGGCCCCCGGTTTTCGGCCGGGGGGGAGGGGTTGGATGGGCGGGGGAAGGAAGAAGAAGGAGCTAAGGAGGAGGAGGAAGAGAAGAAGAAGAAGAAGAAGAAGTAGAAGAAAAAAAAGAAGAACTTTGGGCTGTGGGTGGGGGTGATGTCAGCTGTTGGATGAACCTTTCAGGCACGTGGAACCATACCTGCATGCAAAGCGTTGGCTTGTTTCTGGTGGCAAATCAGGGTGTCAAGCCGTAGTACAAGGGAAACAGAGTTCAGATTCGGGGCGTGCACCTTTTTCCTGCACAAAATTCCAACAGTCCATATTGTAATGTAAAGGTACACGGTCCCCTGCCAGCGCCAACACAAGTTCCCCTGGTGTCGGATTTTCAGCGGAGAAAACCACATTTGCAGGCTGCAGGAGCGTCCGATGTGTTATTATGGAGAACAGAGGGCTGTGCGAGGACGCTGTTCGTGGTGAATCTTTGATGGCCCGTGTTGCGTTGTTGCTGATGACAGAAGCTGACTGTCCACGCAGTACTTCCCCACGTGCCACGAAAGCAACATGTATACCCCGCTCGGCTTACCTCACGATGGCTAGCTGGCAGGATACATTGTGGGCAGGTCTCGCTTCGAGTTTTGGTGTGCTAAATCATAAACATGCCAAGAGTCACTCGGAACAGTGCAGCAATGCTGGGAGTCCTTGGTAGCGGAAGACTTCGGGGGTTGCGACCTCGGGTCCCTGATTTCAGGCTTGAGTAGTATGATGTACCCTCCCACCAAAACACATGGAAGCGCGCGTTCCAAAGGTAGTTTGTGCTGGTGGGGGGGGCAATTCACCCAAGCCCGGGATGCAAGGCCAGCAAGTTTCTGCTGCTCCTGTACGCTTTGCTGGGCCCTTACTGCTTGCAGAGCTGATATCAATGAAACATATCTCAGTGCATATCGCATATCGCAGGCGTTTGACACTGGCACTTGACACTGGCACTCTTGAAGATGTGGGCGTTCTGGTTACGTTTGCCTGGTTTCCGTGGGGATCGTAATGAGGGCCAGACAGTGACCCTGTTTTAGACACATCGCATCTTCGGTTCAGAGCCGATCGCTAGTCCTTTGTTATGCCAGTGAACCACTTGTGCGTCCCTTGGGTGGGACTCAACATCTCCGTGCACATAGTTGTTTGTTGCCACTGGCTTTTCCGGGGTGAAATCTTTAATTCGTGTTGGTTCTTGTTTAGCAGCGGCCCCACCAGAGTTCCCAATCTCCGCGTCTCACGGATGGGGTGAGCCGTCAAAGAGCGTTAGCTGACATTCTCGTCAAGCCTGGAGCTAAGGATTTACATGGGCAGCCGCGGGATCACCAAGTTTGTCATCAAGCTGGTAGTGAAGAAGGCCGCGTTGGGGCGAGGATGCCGCGTGAAGCGCAGAGCTGTTTCTACACACCCACAAGCACACACACAAAGAGACACAAACACAGACAGAGACAGACAACGATATAGACAGAACAAAGAGACAGAGATGAAGACAGACAGATAGAGACGGGCAGGGACAGAGCCAGGGAGACAGAGACAGGCAGAGACAGGCAGAAAGAAACAAAGACTGAGAAAAGCTGACAGAGGCCGACAAAGATAGGAGGAACGGATACAGACGGAGGGACGAAGGCAGACGGACAGCCAGACAGAGACAGACAGAGGCAGACTGTTACAGACGGAGACGGATAGAGACAGACACATACAGAGAGACAGAGAGCGAGAGAGAGAGAGAGGGAGACAGAGAAAGAGACAGATGCATGCACGCTTGCCGGCTTGCTGCCCCGCCCGCCTGCTCGAGCGCACTGTCGCACGCATTGTGCTTACGCACCATCCACACGAGCGCAAGATCGCACAGACACGCACAGACTTACGCAGAGCATCTGACCTGGGTCCGACTGGCAGGTGGCTCCCCGTACTTTGCTGAAGTTCATGGAGCGGAGTCCTCAGAGTGAAGGCATATCCCATAGCACCCTTATCGGTTGACAAAGGTTGCGCCAGCCAAGATGGTGAGTTTTGGAGTTCCTCTCGATTGAAATGCAAATGGAAGCCCTCGGAAGCCGGAACCGAGATCCTGCTCCAAGCTGAACCGCTCCATGACAGTCCCTGTGGGATTCCTCAATGGTTGGAGGGAGCGGTGACCATCCCCCAGATAGTGAGAAGTAGCTCATAGTCTGATGCGTGGGCTGCGGAATTCGATTTTTCTCCTTGTCATGCCCGGGAGTTTCCCGGGACCAGAAAAACAGGTTCCCATCGCTCGCACCAAAGGACACTCATGCAGCATCCAGAAGAAACGCATTTGATAGAATCATTCAACGGGGTCACCCAAGTGCGAACATATGCGAACATCGGGGGAGTCTGGCCGTCCTTTTGAGCGCAGTTGGGACAGGGACAATTCAGGGACCCTCGAAACATGTGAGGCTGGGCCAGCGTTGCCCATTTGGGAGGGACATGGGAGACTCGCAAAGTTTCCCACAACCAGAGGACTTGCAAAAACTGTTTGGGGGAAATAAGTGACTTCCATGGGCTCATGTGGAGACTGCCGATTCAACCAGTTCCAATATTCATCGACAAGGGCTCCACCCGCCATTCACAAATCCCCATGCGGTTGATCAACGGTCCTTTACATAGGATGCCCATGGGGTGAAGCCACTAAGCAAGTATATTTCATGGCAAAAGTTAACCATCGTCATGGCCGGGGGCCGCAGGGCACATTGAAGCCCCAATGGCTGTGGGTCAAAACCAATGGTACCATGTTGGGGTAGGTACACCCCCCATTTTAGTCTATTTTAGTGGGGATTGGGATGTTCACTGGGGGTACGGGCTTTAACCCATGGCCATATTTGTGCTATGGCTGATCCCTCATTCAAACCGGCAGCCTTGCCGGCGAGAGCCGAGGATGGCGCCCCTGGTGATCGAGATCCTGATCAATGCAGCAAACCCAGTCAGATCTCGGCCAAGTGGGGATGGGAAGCAACCGTGAGAGGTGCAACTGTGTGTCCTCCCTGGTTTGGTAATTTAATGGTGTGAAACATCAGCAAAAAGAGCGAGGAAGGTGCAATTCTTTGCTTTCCCTTGATTGGTGGTGTGAAACTTCAAAGTTTCTTTTTGGGGTGTAGCCCTATGAGAAGATTCCAAGCAGAGCCATGTCCTTTGCATGACGGGGTTCCACTTGGTGAATTCGCCTCACAAATGGTTGGCCCGGACAGGCAACTGCCAACATGGCATGGCCAAGTGGCCAAGGGCCTTGCATCCATGGCAGACTTGGACTGCTGTTGAAGATGCTTGGCAAGTTTACAGTTTCGGTTTCGGAGAGTACTCTGCATTTGGATAACTTCATCAATACCATCCTGAGCTTCTCATCGTTCACAGCGGGGCCTCGGTGCGCGGCAGACTGAAGGTCCTTTTCAACTGCGTGACAGTAAGGTCGGGCGCTCGGCAGACAGCTTTGGACCGTTTGGTTGTTGGTAAAGGTTTCGGGCAGGATGCTGACTGGAGCAATTGCCGTGTTTGCGTGTCCATGACCCGATTCTCGTTTAGCATCTGAGTTGCTCAGATGCTTCCCACGCGGATCAGGTATGCGATGAACGAGGTGATCGTTTGTGCCCTTGGCCCTTCTGCGACAGTGGAGGCTGTCAGCCAGTCGGCCACTGCGGAGGGCACTCTGTCCGCGTGTTGGTAACATCCAAAGGGCCCCCAAAACTTGCGCTTGTTAAGCGGGTTGTAGACATGAACCCCTCCCAGATCCACCCCTCAGCGCCTGGCACATCAAGCATTAGTTGGCTGTTCACGGAGGTGGTCAAGGGAGACGAACCGATTTCTAAAAAAAAAGATATTCAGCATCATACGAAGGCAGAAGGATTCCTGTGTCCGGTCGATTGGGTATCTTGATCTATATAAAGGGATTTCTATGCATGTAAACATTCGTGGCTACTGTTTACACCATCAAGCAAAGGGCCGAATAATATATAGCTGCTTTTTGTTGACAACCAGACCAGTATTGTTGTTCCCCAAAACGCATCTTGAATTGAGCTTTGTCTCATTTGAGTCACAAGCAAAATCCGAGTAGGTGAAGGTAGTAAGGCACAATCGTAGCCATAAAATTCAATAGGTGCGGCGCCCTCTCTTGGCTCTTTAGCTTGGCTAGACCCTTTTCAAACCAGGCCAACCATTTTTTTTGGATGGTGACACCTGGGGTGTCAAAGTATTGGTTTGGATACGCAAAGCGGGCTCCTGGTGGTTTCCCTTTCAATCCTTAAAAGGGCAAGCAGTTGGAACGTCAGGTGACCAGCCAGCTGATTAAAGGCCACCGCAAAGGCGCGGATGCGCCGATTCCGCAGGGCAAAGACATGTAGCTGAAAAGGCTTGTCAAAGGGTTGGGTGGAGCGAGAATAAGACGGCGGGGTTCTAACAGACCTCAATAATTCGAGGTCCATCGCAAGAGTCGGCTCTTTCTGATGGCTTCCTGGCCACGCTGCAGTTGGGATCTCTAAGATAGGCCTCGCCCCTTTTTTGCAAATGCATCGCTTCAGACATCCCATAGGCCTCTTGAGATTGCTGCGCTAAGACGAAGGGGATCCCTCCGAACCACCCCATCTTGTGAAGCAATTCTTCGGTTGACGCATGCCAGGCAGAGATGTGGAGGAGCCTTTGCCTGGAAGCCTAAGCTTGTGCGCAACCAAATGGCTGTGGTTGTCAAAACCAATGGGATCCCGTTTTGGGGTAACCCAGTTTAGTCTATTTTAGTGGGGATTTGGATGTTCACTAGAGGTACGGGCTTTTGACCCATGGACATTTAAGCATCTCTTGTAGTCAGGCGAATCTTGGGTCAAAGCCATGTCGGGCTTGCCAGCCACATTTGTAAAAGGGGTACGGCACGTATATTTGATCTGACTGGAGCAACGATCCATATGCGCCTTGGGAAGGACATGGCCTTTTCCAATCAGGGGGGACATGGACAATGAACAGGAACTCGACTGTGGAACTGAACAAAGATGCTTCAGAACTGTGCAGGTATGTGGAGTCAACGAAGCCTGTTGCACGACGGCTGTGACTGATGGACATGAGCTGTTGAAGTCAGTCGCACCGGGGAACATCCTCCACTACAAATTAAGATGAAACCCAACAATCATCCAAGTTTTGAAGAGTCTCTTTGAATCTTTGGGGTTCCATATTCATTTGCAAAGTAGCTTTTTTGTGTCACATGTGCTTGCCACCCTTTGGGCCCACTTTGGGCCTCACTTGTGATAATATCCCACCTGCAGCGTGGCCAGGAGGCCATCAGAAAGAGCCGACGCTTGCGATGGACCTCGAATTCTTGAAATCTGTTAGAACCCCGCGTCAAGTGCAGATCCATGTCTTTTTGTTTTTGTTTTTGACTTTTGTCTCTCTCTCTCTCTCTTTTTCTTCTAACACTTACATCGACACACCTTTTGTGTAAAGATATGAGCACCGGTTCTGGAGCAATCGGCAGCCTCGCAGGTCGGATGAGCTCAAGCTGCTCGCCCTGCGGGCTGTAGGCCCGAAGCTGATAGGTTTTTCAGGTCGGTTTGGTGCGTGGATGTCAGATTTCCACCAGTGAACTGGACATGGACACAGTCTTGGACTGGTCGGCCGGATCTGCTTTGGCGGTCGGCAAACCATCCAAGTGCCACAAGCTGGGTGTTGCGGGCCGGAAAGGCAAGGTACGCTCAACTAATGCCAACAATATGTCGGTCTATCTTTTTGTTTTCTCGGGTGACCCATTTTGGGTGGCTTGAAAGGAACACCAAAAGGAAATCCACGATTTTGGGGGGTACCCTCAAACAAAGACATATGGCAGTGATTTTTTTTGAGGGGTCTGTAACAGAGCCGCGGCGGACATTCGTTACAGACCTCGTTACAGACCTCTGTAACAAGACCAGCTGGCTCGTTACACACCCCTCGTTACACACACCCTCGTTACACACCCTCGTTACACACCCTCGTTACACACCTCAGATGAACAAACCGGGCCAGTGACGTGACTGCCCTCTTTTCGCCGCAGCCTGGCTTGCGTTGAATAGCTGCAATCAAGCTGGAGCTGCGGAGGCGCTTTGCGTACTGTGCTTTGCTTTGCCTCGTTACAGACCTCGTTACATAGCCGTTACATACCTCGTTACAGACCCAACCCCAGCCCGGGCCAGCGACCCTGCTTGTTGCCGCAGCTTGGCTTGCGTTGAATAGAGCCGCGGAGGCGTTCTTTGCGTGCTGCGCTTTGCTTGCCTTGTTACAGACCTCGTTACATAGCCGTTACATACCTCGTTACAGACCCAACCCCAGCCCGGGCCAGCGACCCGCCTTTTTGCCGCAGTTTGGCTTGCGTTGAATAGCTGGTGCTGCGGAGGCGCGCTTTGCGTACTGCGCTTTGCTTTGCCTCGTTACAGACCTGGTTACATAGCCGTCACATACCTCGTTACAGACCCAACCCCAGCCCGGGCCAGCGACCCTGCTTTTGCCGCAGCTTGGCTTGCGTTGATGTGCTCTTGATTCTGCTTGTCAGGAAATGTTTTTCCCGTTACAGACCTGCGTAACAAGGACCTCCGTTACAGACCTCCGTAACAAGATTTGTGCCGCGTCGCGCGTTACAGACCCCTAAAAAAAATCATAGCCATATGTTGGTTGCATTTACACCTTGACTGTTTTAGTATTCCTTCAGGTATCGGGTCCTGCAGAAGACTCGTGCAGGCGTATCCATCACCTACAAGATGCAGATGCATCCCAACAGCCGCTGCCTGCCAGGCGCATAGATGCTACAAGTGCGTACGACCGGATTCAGTGCGCTGGGAAGCCAAACCAGGTGGGTCCCGGGACCCTCCATGGGCATGCCTCAAAGGGACTTGGGGCGCCGAAATTGATGAAATACGGTTTTTCCTATGGGTTTTCCCCGGACATGTGCCTTACGGTTTCCCTCGGAAAGAAAAACAGACCCAGAACTGGTTTGCCGTTGACTCGGGAAGCTCCGAGGCTGGACTACGTGGTGGAGCTGTTCGTGGACGAGGGCTTTGTGCGCCGGGCCTTTTGGCCGCAAAAGCCATTTTCGTCCTAAAGGCGAGCGGCGCCTTTGGGGGGTTGAAGGCCTTAGTTCAGCAGACGGTGTTATTTTTAAGTTTGGACAGAAATAGATGGCCCTGGAGTTTTGATTGGTAGCCATTTAGCAAGGAAACTCATCTATTTTACCCACAGGACACCTATGTCAGCACAGATTCACCCTAAATCTGGCCCAAATATTTGAAATTAGATAGATGGCTAGGCACCCAAGCCGGTCAACTAGCCTAGCTAGTCAGATAGCTGAAGCTGGCTAAGATATCTAGCCAATGAGTTGTTGCTTTATTTGGCGGGTTCCATAGAAGAGGGCAAGTCTGAAAAATGTGTTTTCCTTCAAGGGTTATAGGGCGATCGGGGAATCCTTCCTTTCATGAAGGGAAAGAAAGGATCGCTTTGTTCTGAGGATGGCCCTCCTGTCCGCTAACATGGAACCTGTCAGGGGTCCCAAGATAATTTCCCCTAAAAGGGAGCTGGTACATTCCATGTTGGTGGGAAGTATGAACAATGGAGGGGGACTCGAACCCTTTTGGAACTGCCCAGCTTATGCTTTCCCTTGGCGGTTTAAACATCAGCATATCAATAATAAATGTTGCACCTTTGAGAAGAGCTTGTAGATTCCGTGGCCGTGCCGAGGCCAAGGCGAACCACGGCCACATGATGGCCGAGGTTGCGCTATCAAAGACATTGCTGAAAGTTCTCGCTGGGAGGGAGTGTGCATACATTTGCCCATCCGAAAAGTTTCGCTTGCCGATCCGGGGTTAAAACGAGCGATTCCTTTACCTCGGGGATCCCGTTTACATCCGTTTACCCTTTCCCGTATATCGGGTAGCTGGGGAACAATGCCTGCTGCATTGATCGTGTGTTGCTCAGCGCCTTTCAGCCAGTCAGCTATGTGGGTATCATTCAAAATAGCAGGACCCAACAAATAGTGGTTTTTCTTCTTGTTCCCCGTCTAACCCAAGCTGAACGGCTACCCTCCAATATGCGCTTCCCATGTCAGGACTTGGGCGTGTGCCTGCCTGTGATCATCAGGCGAAAGCCATGTAATGCCTTGCAATGATGCGTGTTTCCAAAAAGGACCCCCCCAAAAAATAGATATGTCTCCCTTTTGGAGTCACAGTTGCAGCATGGTGGTTGAAAGCCGTTGAACAGAGGACTGACCTAGATGGCCCTGGCGAATGGACTCAAACCAGTCTCCCTTTGGTGTCTTTTTTGAACATCCAAAGCCGCAAAAGCGCAGCGCCAGGCGCAATTGCGGCAGGCCAAGTCTGGGAGATCCGCCCAGAAGACCAAGAGCAAGGCGGGACCTGTGCCGTGGTCAAGAGATACTTGTTTGTATATATCATAATATGAGGTGTCCCAAATTGGGGCGGGGGCTTGGTTGGTTTGTGCAAGGGAGACCAAACTTCCAGGAACTATTTGTGCCCTGGTCACACATCCCTTTGACCTGCAGTTGGTACGGGTAGTTGGTTCCATGTTGGCTCCATGTTGGCTCTCAAGATTACGCTTTGGGTACGCCAGGTCAACAATCCCGCTCAAAGCTTTTGTTGTATGCCGTCAGAGATGAACGGTCGCTCATTATGTCAATCGACTTGTCTGCGTTTCCAATTGGTTGGTTTGTTGAGTTGGTTGGTCGTAGGATTCAATCGCAAGAAGGAAACCACCAACCTGCTCTTGCGCTCAACCAAGTTTGGAGCTCTATTTTCCACCGCGTGAGCAAGCAGTTGGCTGGCTTGGGGCTCTTTGAATGCCGCAATCTTCAATCTTCGCCTCGGATCAATCCGGACGACAGATTCCTGACGAGTACGGTCAGCCATCGTTGAGTTCAAATTTGACCTCAAAGCTTGCGTCAAGGCTTCAACTGGGAAGTGCAATTCCTTTTACATGACGAAGAGTTCCCCAATAAAAGACACGACTCGATCGCGACCTTTTTTGCTTGGTTCCCTCACGCTCCCCTTGGGCGAAGCTTGGGGCAGTGATTCCCGTTTCGTGCGCGCACGCGTTTTCAGGGCACCGCCAGCACAGAAGGCGGCTGGTGCCACGGCCTCAGCGGGATGTAGGGGTTTTTATGGGAGGCTTGGTGTCACTTCAGTTCCCGCAGATCATGGGACTCACCAATTCTCCCATGTCTAGATCCCCCAACACCGCCCTTTTACACTTTTTGGGGGGAGGGTTCAATCCCCATATCCGCCCTTTTCTGCAATTTGGCGCAAATTGGTCAACTTGGGTTGGGTGCTTGGCTGCGCAATTTTCTCAACTTTATTATAGTGGTTTTACTAATTGGCATGGGGTCTCATGTTGCAACCATTGGAGGCTGTTTGGGGGTGATGGCTTCATGTCGGCCTACCCAGCCTGGCTTTCGGGTCTGAAGATACCCCGACAGCACACCTGGCAGGTTGATGGTGCGACTGCTTCGATGGCTGCATAGTTCCGTTGTCTTTGTTCCGACCATGCCGGTTCCGACCATGTTCTGGCAGCACCCGCACGCTAGTATTGTTTTTACAATATTGGATGGGCCGTAAACAGAAAATACACATACGAACAACGCACGCAACAAATCCACCAAACATGCCAAGATATTACATCCCGACAATATTAGACCCCCCAAACACCGACAGGGGCCTACCCCAAATTGATACCTACCAGCCTGCAATATTCTTGCTCATATTATCATGTCCCTGCGGCGCTTGCTTGACAGGCTTATTTGGTGTTTGTGCTTCTGCATTGCTTCCTCAGGCAAGGGCTGCTGCGGCCCCTTGCCTGCAGTTATGGGGCCCTGGCCCCTTTGAGCGAGGTGCTTGCGGCAACGGGTTGACAGATTGAGAACTCCATCCCGGAGTACCATTCCAGTGCCAAACAATCTAGGAGGTTTTGATTGTGACTTGAGTCACCCTGTCTGTTGTTTCTTGTCTGTGACGTGACAGCACGGTCTGTGGTCGTAGTGGCTTTTGTTGCTACAAAATGGTGACTCCCGTGATCACCCAAGCAGGTCCTGAAGGACCGAAACCGGTTGGCTGTTGGAATCTACAAACAATGACACCAGCCTCGACCCCAAACAGCAAAAAAGCATGACAGGTCTGTATAGCCCAAAAAAGGCTTGTCTCGTTCATGTAAGGTGTGAAATTGCGTAGCTTGTGTGAGCAACGCATAGTTACAATCAGTCCATGTATGTCCCTGTAGGAAGTCCCCTTTTTTGGGAAGAGGACACATCGGGTCCATCCATCGCCTTGATGCCGGGTAAAAGCATCGATGTTGTTCATCGACTTCGAGGGGAAAACGCCATGTCAATGCCATGTTCGAGAGTGAAGGCCCCGAGGATTCGGGGTGAATCAACCTAAGACCTGGCATTAATCAATGGAAGTTTTGAAGGAACTTTCGTAGTACGGACAGTCAATGCACTTTTCCATCACCGCAGCATTTGGTGGCCGTCTCGCTACTCTGCTGAAACTCGCGCATCAGTCTCAGCAGCTTGCGGCCGAGACTGGACACATGCCACTTCTGGTCGCTATCTTCTTCTCGGGCTCGGCTAAAGGTCTTGCCACAAGCAAAGCAAGAGAGCACTTGCATAACTTGCAGACTGCGCCTTGTAGCGTTACGGCCGGGACATACTCGCCTAGCAACGCAAACACACGCCGCGCCAAATTGGCAAGCGTCAGCAAAGGTGCCCGTTTGGCGCGCACCTCTGTCACCCGGCACAGCTCCAGAAAATCCTCAGTGGCAGTAGCTTGGTCATCCAGGGCCTTCATCTCTGTCGTGTCCAGCGCGCCGTATGCTCCCAAGATGGCCAACGCGTGGCTTTGCTCCATGCGCGCAACGCCGCTCCATTCTGGAACAAGCTTGGCTTTGAACGTCAGCTCCAGCCCTCCTCCATCTCGGAAACGTGTGAGAACTTTGCCCCAACTTACCAATGCTGGCTGCATGGTGGACACCACCAGCTTGGCCGGGTTCATCTTGGAGTTGGTGCTTGTGGTTCGCAGATTGGTGTTCACATGTGTGGTGAACGACCGGCGGCCGTCATTGCAACGCACGCCGCTGGCAACAACTTCTTGGGCCTGGATGTTTCCAAGTTGTCAAGGTCAGCGAAGTAGGTTGCCAGGAAAAGGCTCCTACGCAGTTTTTCGAGGAGAACTCGACACGCGCAGGGACGATGCAAACAACTCTTACGAGCTAATGGTTTGGCTGGGGACCCGACTCACCCAAGCTTTACTTCCAGGACAATTCTTTCTGGAAACCGGTCAGAAAAAACCTTGGAGCTCAGAGTCAGCTGATGCGCCACAAGGATGCAAACTTGCACTTGACCAAGAAGTGCGGCACTGGATTTGTCTATCGAAACCAGTCTACATATTTAAGGCTCGACAGGGCTCTGCTGATGCGCCACAAGGATGCAAACCTGCACTTGGCCAAGAAGCGCGGCACTGGCTTCCAAAAAGCAACCAGCCGGATGTCACTATATACTTTTTTTTAATCGAGAAACATAGACATATTGAAGGCTCGACAGGGCCCTGCTGGTGCGCCACAAGGATGCAAACCTTTACTTGGCCAAGACGTGCGACACTGGCTTCTACAAGGCAGCTCAGTTTCCTGAGCAAAGCAGTCAGCCGGATGTCACGATGTGTTTGTTTATCGAGAAAAATAGACATATTTAAGGCTCGACATTGCTTGCTTCTAGCTCCAACGATGCTCCACAAGGATACAAACCTGCGCTTGACCAAGAGAGAGGCACATCCTTTGCACACGGGCTAACAGCAAAATCTGCGACACGCCCTTTCCCCGTTGCGAAACATTGTTGCAAGTGGTGCCTGCTGACTTGTCGAATCTATGTTTCTAGCTTCATGCTTCTCAATTGCGCTTGCGAGCTGCTGCCACGTGAGCCGAAGGGAGCCGAAGGGAACCGAAGGGAGCCGAAGGGAGCCGAAGGGAGCCGAACGCTGCTTACTGGATGCCAAGCAAGGTCAGCCTCAAAACTGGATAAGAAGAAACAGGTTCAGCTGGTTTTGCCCGGGACCTTCCTTTTCCTGTTCAGGGCTGTTTGCAGGAAAACCGCCAGCTGGCAGCAAGCAAGGTCAGCCCCAAAACGCGCAAAGAAGAAGCAGCTTCAGTTGGCTTTGCCCGGGACCCTGTTGAGGGCTGTAAGCATTAAACAAAAGCTGGCAGCAAGCAAGGTCAGCCCCAAAACTCGCAAAGAAGAAGCAGCTTCAGTCGGCTTTGCCCGGGACCATCCTTTACCGCAGAGACTGGGAGACACAGGGAGAGAAGCGAGAGACACGTCCCCGGAGCCAGCGTCACCACAGCATCTAGCATCTGACCGCAGAGACTGGGAGACACAGGGAGCAAGAAAAGACACGACCCCAGACCCGGCGTCACAGCGTCTGGCATCCGACCGCAGAGACTGAGAAAAAAGAAAGACAAGCGGGAGACACCACCCCGGAGAAGTGCGAGACACGACCCAGAATCTAACATCCAGACAGCATCTGGCATCCGACAGAGACTGGGACAAGCGGGAGACAAGACCCCGGAGCCGGTGTCATCTGACCGCAGAGACTGGGAGACACAAAAAGACAAGCAGGAAACACGAATCCGGAGCCAGCGTCGCAGCACCTGGCATCTCTCCGGTGTGGTGTCTCCCGCTTGTCGTCTCCCGCTTGTCTTTCTGTGTCTCCCAGTCTCTGCGGTCATATGCCAGACGCTGTGGCGCCGCCTGCGAGGTTGTGTCTCCCGCATGTCTCCCTGTGCCTCACGGGAGATGAGACAAGCGGGAGACAACCCCACAGCCAGCGTCACAGGCGACCGTGGGAGACACAGGGAGACGGGCGGGAGACATGACCCCGGAGCCGGCGTCACAGCATCTGACGGGGAGACACAGGGAGACAAGCGAGAGACTGGGAGACACAGGAAGACAAGCGGGGGAGACGACGGCGTCGCAGCATCCGGCAAACGACACAGGGAGACAAGCGGGAGACACGCCCCGGAGCCGGCGTCACAGCATCTGACTGGGAGACACAGAGAGACAAGCGAGAGACTGGGAGACACGGGGAGACAAGCGGGAGACACGACCCCGGAGCCGGCGACACAGGGAGACAAGCGAGAGACTGGGAGACACGGGGAGACAAGCGGGAGACACGACTCCGGAGCCGGCGTCACAGCATGTGACTGGGAGACACAGGGTGACAAGCGAGAGACTGCGAGACACAGGGAGACAAGCGGGAGACACAATCCCGGAGCCGGCGTCACAGCATCTGGCATCTGACCGGAGAGACTGGGAGACAGGAAGACAAGCGGAAAAAAGGATCCCGGAACCGGCGTCACACTTTCCCATTCTCTACACCTCAAGTTAGAACCCCAATGCTTCGCTGTTTGGGGAAAATGGTGACAAGGGTTTTCCATCCGGCCCAACCCAGAGGGAATTCACCCAGTTGGATTTTGGTGCTGCGCAGGTGGCTCTTTCCGCTTGTTTCGCAGATGCTAAGTTTCATCGGTCCCAACGTTTTGCGAAGCCCATGTGCAAGTTGACCAAAATGGGTTGGGGTGCCTTTGAAAGAAACACGCACATCAACTCAGCAGACATCCGGAGGGAGCCTCGCTAAGGAAGTGCTGCCCAGAAGGAAGAGTGCGGGACTGAGACGAGAGGAGAGTCGAAGTTGGTCCAAGCGGGCCCATGCATTTGACATTCTTTTGGGGTTGGCAAAGTCTGAGGCTGGGGTTGGTTCCTTTTCATCTAGTTCGCTTGGGGTCACCTTGAGCAAGGTAGCATTTAGATAATGAGGGCCAAGCAACTGAGCAACTCGTTTCATATCATGCATCTTTTGCACGTTGCGTGAGTCAAGCGCTCCTCAGACTCCACAAGCGAGCGTTGCAAGGATTTCGCTGTGTGTTTCGGGGAATAATCTAAGGAGTTGTGACGAGCGCAGAGATTGAGAGAGATTGAGAGTAAGCCAAATCAGGGCGTCAAACACCTACTAATCAATCTCAGCAAGCCCCACCCCGGTTGGACTGACCACTTCTGGCAGTTTTTCTTACCCCCTAGTGTGCCCCAAATGGTACTTTCAGGCACGTCTTCACGATGAACGCGCCAACTGCAATCATTGCAATCGAAGCGGCCTCCTTTTGCACGATGCCTGACTCAGCTGAAATCCTTGCTGAGCCAATGAACGACTTTTCGTGTAGGATACGGTTCTCGCACAGTTTGTGAGGCCTCCATACTTCGAGACGAAACCATAGTCGTGCATTTTAGTGGGGTACACCCTCCAAAATGGACATACACCCCATACACATGTTTCCTTCTTCCAAAAGGTCCCCCATTGAGTTCGTAGTACATCAATATGAGGTTCGGTCAAAATTAAAAGGTCGAGTAGTCGATGGTCATTTTTGTCGGTGGGCACATGGGGGACTCTGGAAATGCCCCACAAAAGCCAGGCGACAAACCCAATGGTTGCGAGAAACTTGGGAGTTTACTGCTGGGGAGTATATGGGGGACTCCCCCCAAGGTTCCCACAACACCTAGACATGTCCATTGAGTGCAACCGCACAAACATGTTTGTCGTGGCTCGTATGAGGTACGTTCAAGATTTCCTCCATGTAGACATGGGGCATTCATGAAATTCATCCACGAAAACCAGAAAACAGCCCCTGAAGGTTCAATGCCCTTTGTGGGGAACAAAGTCATCTTGACCCCGTCTCAAATGGGTGTTTCTCATGGTGAACCCCTTTTGGTTGGCATTTAAAGGGAAACCAAACCAAAGATTTTCGGGCTTCCTCATTTCGAGGAACTTCGTGTTGGAACCCGTTTGGTCCAAGGCCTGCAGAGTCGCTGCACGAAGAGCTGGCTGAACTAGGCGGCGAGGGCTTTGTTCGCCCATGACTCTTAGATTTTCCTCGGGAACAAACATGATTTGGGTTTCATTGGTCCAAATTTGTCCGCACTACCTCCGTTCGCCGTTCACCCAGCCAGGAGCGTGTTACTGTCTAGTAGGGATGCGACCTTGGGCCTGCATTGGTAAAGCACTCTTGGAATTCGGGGGCTGAAAGGGGTGGCCTTGGCAACAGAGGCGACCATATTGCAACGGCTTCTGTTTGTGTTCCCTTGCGAAACTATTTCTTTCAGCATTGACGGGCCTTTGCAATATGTCATGCCAAGGGTCAATGCCAAGCATGGCGTTTTTCACACGCTATATACAAATCATAGGCATGAGCTGCCCTTGGGTCATTGCAGAAGAGAACGCATGTGGTTTGAGTGCCGATGTTGACAGGAACTTGCACAAAATGTCACGCTCCATTTTCTACCCTGCTTCATTGGTGAAAACACGGGATGCATCGCAAGAGAAGGTAGCCTCAGGCAAACCAGTTAGTTCATCACTCTCACGGCCAGACCTTCATTCCATCCTGGGATGGCAAATGCCGTGCGGCCGATCCACTCGTGAGCTTTTTCGTCCAGGCTTGGACGACGAAGATCTCTTTTTCGACGGCCTAGCTGGTGAGCGCCTCAGAGAAATCGGAGCGTGACAAAAGTCATCTTCGACCCTAATGAGGTGTCTACGAAGCTATGGCCAATACCGTGGATGGACGAAATCCGCTTCGCACCGCTTGGAAGCCATGGGAAACCATGGTTCGTTGGTATTTGCAGGGGAATCATCATTCCATGGGTTCCTAGGTGGTGCAGTATTTCGTCCATCCACAGTAGGATATCCATGCAGTCAAGATAGGCGGTCAAGATATTCGCAAGGTTCGATCAACATATTTGAGGGGACTCACTCACTTTCAGCCACAGAAAAAGCCCTATGCCCTTGCAGGGGTTCATGCCCACTCTGGCGTCAAGGGAATGTTGATCTTGGCACACTATGGAAAGGGTCGCTGTCTCGTCCAAGCATCAAGCCTCTGCTCTGATCATGTGTCATCGAGAATTAGCAACAAGATTGGGGCCCTTCCAGGGGCCAATTCTCTGTTCGGTTTACCCTGTTGGCAATCAACCACACTTCACCGTGTTTTGCTTTTTCGCGTGGGAAGCCCTATTTTTGCTCTTAAACCCCTCGTGTTCTCTGCGCTACTGGGAGGTCTGTGCCTTTTCTTGAAAGCGGCGAAAGCTCAGAAATCGCCTGTTGCTTCCAAGATGTGTCCGCCAAAATCAAAGCACGACCCCCAGGGATGGTTTGGGGCAAGTGAAAACCATCTTAGATTGGGGACCAGATCCCAAGCAATAGTCAAAATGTGCTGAAGAGTCAGTTTCTTCCTGTCCACTCGGGTTTGGCCTGCAAAAGCCTGAGACTTCCCAGCTTTCGCAGTCCTGGACCACCGGGACGCGCTCTTCGCCTGCTCCATGCTCTTCTTGGCACTCATGTTGGACGGCGCGGAGCCCCGCGAGAAAAACCAGCGGGCGGTGGCCGGGCGGGCGTGCAACGATCTTCATTGGGTTACTTTTGATTTCCTAACCCAGTTGCCCAAGGCGAATCAACCTTTGACCTTCTGGTTTCCATTTTTGGTGATTAGTACCTTGTATGTCTGGGTCCCTAGATGTGAGCTAAATATCCTCAGACTTTGCAAGTCGGAAAAAACGGTCGGAAACCAGGGAACCAGGGAAAGTGAGTAATTTGCCATATGTGGCTGGCTGGGTGCAATATTTGGGGAATCCACATACCCACTGGCACTGGGGGATGAAAGCAAAAAGAACACCGGCCATGTTGTTAGGGTTGGGTGGGGCACCTATTTCAAGACAGGGGCCCAGATCCTGACAGATTCAACACCAAAGCAGTGCTAAAGGCGTATCTTACTGGAAACATGCATGGACTATGTCTAAAAGGTGCAGGGTTTCTGTGAGATGTCCAAACTTGTGCCTCAAGTGACCCACGGTCCAGAGTGTGGTTGGCAAGGGGATGTGTGCGATTGTCACGGTTGCCTTCTTGAGGGAATTGATGGTTGGTACACCGGCAAATCTTAGCATTTTTGAAGTTAGCTAAGGCAACTTGAAGGCTGGGGATGTTTGTCCTGAAATGGGCACCGCCTCCCCCGCTTTTGCATGGCGCTGTGGAAGGGTGACATGGTGGCAAGGCCTTCTTGCTTCCTAGCCAGGTAGCGCCAAATGCTACCATGTTTCTGAATTAGGCCCCTACATTGTGTGAATCTCCGCCAATGAAGCGAACGGGGCTCGTTTGGGAACAGCTTTTGTTTAACGAAGCCAAGGCCACCATGATGACAACTAAATTGATCCTCCCAAAGGTGAAAGCTGCCTGACGCTGGCCTAGCTGCCAATTGAAAATGGCTTGCATCTCTTGTGGTTCGATCCAGCGAGCGACTGCACTGTCTAAGATGGTTTCAGCTACCCTCAAACCACTACTTCTAGGGGAAACCCTTCGGTGGTTAGGCACCCGATTTGGCCCCGGATATACAACTACAGAATTGCATGGTTAGCCTTGAAGATACGGGAAAACCATCTCGCTGAGGGCGCATCGGCGGATCCGACTGGGCCTTCATTGAGCGCGCAGCCAGGTGGGGTTGTAGGCGGTGTTTTTGGAGGTTCCCTGTCCACATTGGTTTAAAGGGGAAAACAAAAGGCATCGCCCATTTTGCTTGATCCCTCTATTTTGACGTCACAATGTTCCCTACAGAAAACCAAAAGTGGATGGCAGTTTGTTTTTCTGTGGCCGGGCACCCTTTTGGGCACCCAGACTGAGGTCAGAAGCTGTTTTTGTTGCTTTCTTCCCACCTCACCTACTGGGTGACTTTGCACAAGGGCCAAATACCACAGGCAGTACTACAGTACTTGCAGGAGGTGAAGCTGTGTTTATGGGTTCTTTGCTTTTGGCAGTGGGAACTCAATAGGTGAAGGCATGCTGTGTTTGGCACTTTGAGTCAGGAAACTCCTCCAGCACCTGAAGGTTGACCATATTCGGGAGATGGCGGTGTGAGCTTCCACCAAATTGTCCAGCTGTCTATGGCCAAATTGGGAGGAACACCAACGACCTCCGCATTACTCGAACCACATAGTTCTGTTCTTTGGGTGGGCACTGAACTGTCTGTGAATTGGAAGTGCGGACTCCGTGAAAATGGCTCATCGCAGACAAAGTCCCCACGTAAACGATCTCCAACGAAGGTTGTGACACATCGAATATCCTGCATATCCTTGGAAGATTGAGACAGACTGACAGGACGGTGGAGCCACCGCTCAAGGCGAAGTGGTGTGCGCCTGAGATGGGCCCTTCCGGCTTCAAGAAGCCTCGCGTTGCTACCTTTTTGGTTCCCAGGCATCCGGTTCCTTAGGTGTGCGGCTCTTTGGTGCTTCAACTTAATAGTTAAGCTTTGAGCGGAGAGGGCAGCCCAGCTACATGGGAGTCAGATTGATAGATCTCCCCCAAGTTTAGACCTGGAAACCCAGTTTTCCCGCCAGCAAGCTTCCGTTGCTTTGGTTCTCTTCGATTCGCTCGGAGGCTCAGCGCAGTTCATCTTATGAACATCTACTGCAGCGGCAGGCGCGTGCAAGCCCGGAGGAGATGGGAGGTATGGTCTACGAACAACCCTTGCGAAGCCAAGCTGTGCAACCTGTGGGTATATGTCAAGAGAGGGGAGGACATGAAACTCGTGTTTTTTCCTGTCGGTGTCCTTTTTGTTTTATCATCACCCAGAAAAGGCTATCCTCAAAACAGACACACTGGTGATCTCACAGTGGAAACGCCACACCGGTACAACCTTGAGAGGTGGTGGAAGGAAGTCGCCGCGCGAGCCGAAAAGCTGTGCCTGAGGAAACGCTGGAGTCAGAAATTAGGTTCGGTAGATTCGCCAACACCGCGGGGACTCACTATGTGTCCTCATCCCTCAGAGAAACCACAAGTTTGACTGTGGCTCACACAGCTGGAAGTCCAACGATGTTGGGCTCGGCATGATCACGGCAGCGCCTGCTTTAGTCTGGCTCAACAGGGCGTGGGATCAAAGGTCGGAGTTGCCCACCCCTCGGGGAACACCGGTGGCATTGGGTGAGAATCATGATAGGCAACCAAGTATTGCCCGAGGTTGGTAGGGGACGATCCCAACTACAAGTGTGGCCTATACCATTGTAATACCGATCGGTTTTGATTCTGACTCATTTGTTCTTGCCATTGGTTATAATTGGTTGCCTCTGGCCCTGGTTCTGTAGACAAGCTCCAGGAAACCTCCAAGTCAACCAAATCCCTTGACAGGCCCATGACCCTCTTTTTTGGGTGCCCCTCAGATGGTTGAGGGTTTTGACCCCAGTTCCTGAAAGGTACCCAACATCCAAGCTGCCAAACCAAGGCACCAACTGGGTAAGGTGATTGAAACCCAGGTTGAGGGTCCAAGGCACTTGGGTTTCCTGAACCGCCAGACAACGAAGTGGGACGCAGGCAGATGACTTGCGAGCTCTTTCACGACATCTTCGAGTCCTCAATGGATGGAGAGGCGTGGGGGGATCAATCATTTTTCCTTTGCGTTTGATCATTCAATCCCCCCCCAAAAAAAAAACATAAATAAAACGAGAAAAGAAAAGAAGCATGAAACCTGAAAAAGGGTCCATGTTAGAAGCAAATGGTTTTGGTCCCTTAGGTTGCATGCTTGGGGTAGCCCGTTTCGCAGGATCGATTCATGGACCATGGTGTTTCGCTTGTGGATTGCAATGCAAGGCCATGGAAAGAGACGTCATGTGAGGCCCTTTTCCGAGTATCCGCTTCGAATTGTGGGGGGGCCTGCGTCGATGCACTGCATTTGGTCCGCTGCCAGGCTTCGTCAGCTACCTGTTGCGATTTCTTTTCGGGCGGCATGCGGGTGGCTCAGTCAACACGCGTTTCGCTTGGTGGAATGAAGCGACGGAAACGCCTTGCTGCCCAGGCGCAGTGTGACGGAGTACAGCAACTGCTGCTGAGCCCAAGCGTGTCTTTCCACAGGGTTCTGTGAACAAAGTTATTCAAAAGGCCACTGTGCCCTTTGGTTTACATGTGATGGTTGCTGCTTTTGTTTTTCAGGAACCCTGCCCACCAATGACCGAATGATAAATTTAGCGTGCGGACGCTTTCCCACAAGTCGGGCCAAACACAAGCGTCAGAGTTGCTCGCAATGTCTCAGACAGGGAACACCTTGTGGCGTTTAAGCGCTGTGAAAGGACAATCAAAGGAACGCAGTGACAAAGACCGTTCGTGAGTCCCGAAGTTTGAGACAGACCGAGAGTCCAAGTCGGCTGATTCCGGCAGGTTTGCTGAGCGAATCCGAATGGGCTTTGGGTAAAGGTCTGGTGAATGTTTCTCTCTCAAACTACTTGTTTTTGCGGGGTGCCCTTGTGGAGTGTGGTTTAAAGGAAACCTCGGGGGAAACCGCTCATTTGAGGGGTCCCACAGCAAGCCCTGCCTGGCAGCCATGCTTGCCTTTGTGACACAGGCGTTGTGCAGATGGTGCCTGAGCCTGACACGACATGGGGCACCCACCCCCCAAGATTCTCCGAACCCTTTTTGTGGGTGTTCCAGTATGAGGGATCCCCAAAACTCGTTGGTTTCCTTTTCGGTTTGCCGTACATCCAAAAGAGCGCCTCCAACTCTTAGAGACCAATTGTGGGACAACATGAAGCACAGCTGGTCCAACTTTCATGTTGTTTTGACCTCCCAAGTTGCGATGACAGTCAGCGAGGCAAAAGCGCCCAACTTTTGGCCCCGTTGAGTATTGTACGAGTATGGCTCGCCGAGCCTGGCCATTTGGAGTAGCCTCAACGACAAGCTCAGAACCTGAAGAGGTTCGGTCAAGATATTTTGGTGGTTCTTAGCCATCCGGTTCCTTGGCTTTTTAGCCTTTTAGTGTTTAGTGGGGATTTCCATTTAAGCCACTAAAAGTTAAACTTTTAGCGGGGGATCTGAGGATATGTGGTCTACGGCCTTAGCCCACAGAACATGGCAGACTCATTGAATTTCCCTCAACGGGACTCACTCATCACTCATCTGCATATCCTCGAGGGTCATGTCTTTTGACCGCTCACCCAAACCTATAATGATGATAAAGCTTGGACCATATCCCTGCGAAGCAATGTGGCGCCAAGAGCTTTCCGAGTCAAGGTGTGTGGTTTCCGAATCAAGCTGTGACTAAAGAGGTATGAATTGCCTGTAGTTGGACCATGCCCCGTAGTGCCTTAGTGTGAGAGGTATGGAGTGACAGGCGGCTTTAAGGCGGGCATCGTCTCCAGTCTGATGCCCCTCTGCCCATCTGCGACCGGCGGAGTGGGCCCGGGGCAACGTCCAAAGGTCTCCGGAAATCGCGTCCGAGCGCCGGGCCGTTTTTTTTTTGTTGGCTGGGGCGTTCCTCAGAACGTTTTGCCCCAGCGCCTTCCGGTTTCGGCCGTGGGCATCCGGAAGTGGACGCCCGCAACGTATCCAACGTGGAATCCGGGGGAATCGGATTGTTGGCTCAGGAATCAACCATCAAAATCTTGGACTCGGGAGGATTCGGATTTCCATGAACGCTTCGAGTGGGTGCAAACATGGAGCCCAAGTGTCGATCCACACGCTTCTCGCGCGATCTCCCCTGGTGCACGTGGCACTCGACGATCGGAAATTGCCAAAGGCAGGGGCCGATCTGAGAATTGGACGGACCAGAGCTGTTAGCCAAAAGACCCAGCGTTGAGGAGCAAGTAGCCTCGGGTCCACCAACATGAAGGGCAAAAGAGGGGCGCGTTTAGAGAATGAGGACACCTGTCTTGGACACACTAGTCAGGTATGTGAGTGGATGGAGCGTGTTTGCGGCTCTTTGGACGCTACCCCCCCTTTTTGCAAGGGGTTTTACAGTTCCACCCATTTTTGGACAACCCCACACCTACATTCGCGGTGGCTGGTACACGCAACGAACCCCAGGCCCAATGTGAACCTGGCTTCGGCCTCCAACTTCGTTTCCTGTAGACCAGCAGAACCAGAACCAGCCAGTATGGTTGCCGAATTGCGGTCTTTCTGTTGTTCCTTTCTGCTTTAGGAGAACGAGCATTGTAGCCGTCCAGAGATCGCCTCCCTGGACCAGCAGTCATTGATAATGTGTGTTTTGTGGCTCAAGCTTGCGCAGATGCCGGAGCGACTCTGAAAAGCACCACATGTTTTCTGTCGGCGAAAGCCTTTTGATGATGGACCCTTGCTTGGGAATCCCCATGGTGTTGGACTGAATACAGGTGAATAGATCATGCAGATTCTGTGAAGCGCCCGGAACATTCAATCTGCGTGACCGCACCCAGCTTTGCAATGGCAGATCCTTGGTCACTTTGCCAGATATTGCCAGACAACTCCGCACATATTGAACACGCCTCTACCTGGAAACAGGCTCCCCGATTCAATGTCCATTTGCTCAGCGCTTGTTTTAGGAAAGTACCGTCGGGTTTTGCGTCAACATGAAGCAAGGGACACTGGGGATGACCAAGCCTTGTGCTTCTTCCCACAATGAAGGACTGTAGGAAACTCGACCAAACGCACGAAACTACGAAAGACCACGTGTCTCAAGATTATATCCTCTGCGGTTTTTGTCACGAATCCGCAATCGACATCAACGCAGACTTGAGTTGCCATTTGCCTTCCGACTCCCGCCACCGGACCGATACATCTCATGGAGGCTTGGTGAGGGTGCGGGCTGCTGACGGAGGTTGAAATTGCGCTCTCTGGACAAAGTATGCAATACGTAAGCATGAGAGCAAGTTAAATTGAACTAATAAGCAATCGAGCACGCACCGTGAGCACAGACGCAAGCAGGCCGCAGGCGGGAAAGAAAACAACACGCATGACGTCAATGACAATGACACAGGACCTGGCCAAGTCAATCAATTGTCTTTTGGAGGATTGGGACGATCCGGCGTTGATGAAAGTGAACTTTTGGCCCTCTGACTGCAAGCAAGGGCTGAATCCAATGCGGAAATTTGGGATGTGGCAAAACCGGTTTTGGCCTCTTTGCCCGACGCCGACCTTTGAATTGGTTTTCCCTTGGCTTCAACAGGTTGACATGCGCCAAGCCGTCGTGAGGATACGGTTGGCTGGTTTCCTTTTGACCACCGCCCCACAAAAAGGACACTCACCTTAAATCAGCCCCAAAGGTGACTTTTAGCCGAGACCTTGACAACAACTACGCTGCACGGGCAAATGTGATCCGCATTGATGGCCGATCTTGAGCAACGGTGGAACGACGCTCATTTGATGGCTTCAGCCAGTGCTAGAACGGCTAAAACGATGAATACCATCATGAAGCTACCATGGCGATTCCCAGATGTGCTCCAGGTGACCTGCAAAGGGGTTGAGCCAAAATTGCAAACAAGGCCAAACAACATCTTAGTGGCGTAGATCTCCTCTTGGCTGGGTAGCCAACGTGGGACTGAGCTGGCCTGGAACTAAACCCTGACAAGCGCTTTGCCAGGCTGTATTGCAGAGCCTCCATCGGTGACATGCTGTTGGTTCTCTTGGCTAAGCAATCGGGTGCCGTAAAGAGCAACCCGCCATCAAATCAAATTCCTGGTTTTCGCGCCTAGAAAAAACACAACGGAGAAGGAGCCGGGACTTTTTGGTGGCCCCGGCCCAGCCTCATTGCTGTCTTGAGCAGGGAAGCGACCGGGCCGATTGGATCCGTAGTGGCGCGATGTGGGGCTGGCTGCTGGCGCTGGTAGTTGGTCATGCCGCTGGGCGGCCCAACTTCTTGTGGATCATGGCGGATGCTTGGCCGCGGATGCTTCTGCTTCTTGCCTGGTGTTGATTACCGCTCTCTTGGTCTGCCACGAAAGCATGAAAGCGCGTTCAGCAAAGATCACGGCAACGGGTGGTCAACAAATGAGCCAATGAGTCTGTGCAGTTTCCCAAAGTAGAGATCTGAGGGAGGGAATGCGAATCAAGCCACCAAGTATTGGGCGTGTCTTTTTCTGTTTGCACCCTTTGTGAGGGTTGTTTTCAAGGGAAACCATGTCAAAGTGGGGCACCGCCCGTATTTGGGGATTCCATCCCCATTTTGAGACCAACCTGAGTAGGAATAAGCCAAATATAAGCACACCTCCAGGTTTTTGAGGATATAGCCAGGCATCACCAAGCACACGCGTGGCGAGACAGCAGAACTAGCAGAGGCAAACACCTGGGATCAATTCTTTGCATGAATAGAACCCCAGATCAGCAGTTGCACGGCGCTCTTGTCTTTTTTTGAGAAAGGGGCTTCCTTTGAAGTCAACCAACAGAAGAGCGGCCAAAATCCTGCTCAGAAGTTAGGGCGATTTCCCTGGCTCAGGATGACCTAGGCTGGGGTGAGGTGGGCCTGTTCCCAGCCTCCTCTCCCCACGGCCGCATCAGCACGCCCCACCTCGACACCTTCGGCAGGCGCGACCGCGGCTTTGACTGGGTCCAACTTACGGGATCCAGCGGCAAGTCAAAAAATCGCTTTTCCAGCAGATGTAGAGGAACGTCTGGATTTATCCGGAGTTCTCACAAGGATGTTTCCCTATAAACCAGCTTGAAGCGAGCATGTTGGGGGGGTTCTGAACATTATTTTGCGGGTGGCCTTCAAACCAGAAGTTACAGGGCACCTGTTGTCTTTTGTTTTAATTGTGTTTTACCTCTTTCTTTTTTCTTGGGGGGGTGTCCGTGTATTTCCGCTCTTGTGCGAATTGCACACTTGTTGGGCCAATTTTGAAATGAGTTTTGAGCAAGGGCGATGTTTCCAGAAAACATCGTGCTGTTTGGAAGTTTCAATGTCGTTTTCTCTTCGAGTTTTCTCTTCGAAAGGGGCACCAAAGCAGTTGGTTCCAACAGCAGAAGCATGTCTAGAACAGGTGGTTGGATCGCGCCAAATGGGTGCTTTCCCTTTGGCCATCTATGAAGCCACCAATCACCAGCCACTCGCACAAGGACACCCCGGGCCCCAAACGCCGCCACGACTCAGGGAAGGCTTGGTGTTCAAGGAGGCCTATGCCGGCTACACGGTGTGCGCGCCCAGCAGGACCACCTTCTTCACCGGCAGGCAGACGCGTCCTCCGATTTGATGGCCAGCGGCGAGTGTTGGTTTTCAAAAGTGGTTGGTGGACATGAATCCCAATTTTCCCTCAAAGAGTCAACTGCTTGCAGGAGGTCTAAGTCTGGCTAAGAGGAACAGGTGGGTAGGGAGAGTCATTCGACCCCTCAGTAAAAGTTGGCTTGCTTGTCTTGTCGGTGGCACTCTCGGTGGAGGTAGAATGGCCGCATTGCATGAAGGAATGCGCTCCTAAAAGCTCTGCTGTTAGTCTCCCGATTTGTGCTGGCACCCACAATGTTGCCGGTGTAGCGCGTGCGCGCCTGGTACAGGGGCGCACAACGAGCGTGCATCCGCACGCGGGCATGTTACTTTGCACATTTCTGCACTGTTAGGGGTGTAGAAACGCAGACATGTTACGGGTCCTTTGCGACCTGCAACCTGCTGTGCGGATCAAAACCAAGACGAGCGCAGGTGTCCCTCTATATTTCCCTGTTACCTTCAGCAGTGGCGTGGCGGCAACTTTCTACTTGGAACCATTCAGTAATTACTACTTGGACTGCCAGGCACAGTGGCAACTTTAAAGCTGCTGGACTGAATGGAGAAGGCAGGGATCCATTTTGGCACTCACCCTCTGGTTCTCTATATGTCCTCTCTGGGTTGGTTTAAACATCGCCTTTTGGCCAAATTGAAGTGAATTTACTTTTGGTGGGGTCGAACCCTCTTTGTTTGGGGTGGGAGAACCTTTTGGGCTGAAGCATCCAGTGACATGCTGCAGCACCAACGGGCGTCCCAAACATCGGTATTTCCGGGGTCACCCAACCTTTTTTGTTTTTTGTTCTTTTTGCTATAAGCTGCCTTCTTCCAGGTATCGACCCCGAGAAGAACGTGAGCCTCCTGCCCAGGGTCCTGAAGCAGGACAGGTTCCGTTTTGAACTGGGAGTCCAACAACAAATTGGTGGCAGTTGGGGCAGTACCCAAAATTCTTATGGGGTGGGGTTTCCCTGGAAAACCCAGCGTTTGGACAATGTTCACAGGGTCTCCCTTTTCTGGGATCTGCTTTGATATTCATTGGCACCTGAAGTTTTACTAGATATGGGCCAGAATCCAAAAGAGATATTTGAGATCATTTTGGACAAGAACTCACTTGCCCAAAGCGGTTCAACCTTTCAAACCTTGTGATATTCCCTTTTTTGGTTTAGAAGAAGTCAAGGTTGGTCACGTATGCAGAAGGTGTGTGCCTTCTATTTCTCAGTCCTTTGAGCAAGTGAGGCACGCTGACCCAGCAAAATTGCAGAGTTTCTGAAAGACAATTGGAAAGCTCACCTGGCAATCAACCCCTCATGTCCACCCGCTTCGAAATAAACATTAGGGAGAGGGATGACCATGGGAAGACCCTGGATTTTTGGGGGAGCCCATCTCGGGTTCGGCTTCGGCTTCGGCCGCTTTTCGGGAAATGGACCCCGTGGGTGGCACGATGGAGGGTGCCTCTAATTCTGCCCAAAAGGGAGACAGTCAAATGGAAAAGCCTGGGCGGCCAAGACAGCTGGGTCAACGTTTGGTTCCATTTTGCATCTTGCCCGTAGACACCATTTACATCCTTGGGCTGGCAACGCACGGTGCCTTCCCCGAAGATATATCAGATAGCATAAGCAATAATTTAGCCACATATCAAGGTTTGGTTTCAACCCTTCGGCAGCCTTCAGGCTGGCTACAGGACGGGCCTCTTCGGGAAGAGCGCGCCTTTGACCTCCCCGCTACAGCAAGGCTTCGATGCCTTCCTGGGGCAGGTTGACCAAGCGCTTCGGCCGAAGCTTGCTTCACAAACTGCCAACAAAATGGTGCTCTCTTTTTGCTGGTCGTTGTGTTTCTTTCCCATGTTGATCTTGAAAACCCAACTTTCCACAAAAGTACTTCCTTGAACAAAGCCAGACTCGACCAATGGCACCTTTCGGTTGGATGAGGTTTGAGCATGAACCTTTTCAAACCGCGTAACTGAAGAAGCAGGAGAACTTGGTTGATGTTACGGAAATCACCCCAGATCACAGAAAGGGCAATCAACTTTCCGAAAACTGATCGACCAGACAAATCGGCAGAGGGCATAATCCTCGCTTAGATGGTCCCTGAGAAATCGTTAACTGGACAGCTCAGCCTTACTTTCTTGCGGGTTGGGTCGCATAACGTACACCCTGGGATTGCGCCCACTCAACAACTAGTCCTTCGGGGTAATTGTCCAGATTAAACATTTCCATGTTGAACTGTCAACTGGGCCATTTCCTACTGTTGTGATCCGGCGGTGAAAGCATACACAAGCACACACCCTTAGAATTTGGTGTGAGCCAATACTCGCCAAAATGGGGCCGCAGCTGACTGGCTTGACGCGACGTGAAATTTCTGGACTAAGCAAACACATCGCCTCACACGGTTTCAGTGAGTTCTGCGGGCCACAGTGAGCTTGAATGTTCAGCAAAGGAGGTACAAACTTTGGAGTCGCATGGGTCTGATTTCGGAGCAAGACCGGAGTTCAGTGTGATTTACACAAAGCACACACATCCTGAGTCGCTCATCGCATCATTGATGAGAACTCACTGAAACTGGTAGCGAACTAGACACGTGTATCTTCATACCAACAGGCAAGCAAAACCTAAGAATTTGCCTACTTACATGCCCTCCATATATTCAGCCATGGCAACATACAGACTGATGCTGTGGGTTTCTTCTCGCGGGGCTCTTTTGGCGCTTTTCAGGCGCTCTGCCACAACATGTACCCCAAAGACATCGACCATGGCATGGAGCAGTTGAACTTCAAGTCGCTTGGCCTCCAATTTGCGGCTACCGTTGGACACAAGTGCTCGATCCGTATGAAAACCACAGTCTTGTTGTCCCGTTTTGGGATTGGGATCAAGTTGATCCCCCCTCCCCCCAATTTTGAAGAAGCCGGCTTGTAAGGCTTTTGACAATTGTGTTACTGGCCTTTTGTCGAATAGAAATGTGAGGGTGGCGGTGGTAGTTTCTGACCCTTGACATTTGCCAAATTCAAGCCGGCACGGACAAAGAACGGGAGGGCCCTTTTTTTTGGGGGGGGGGGACTTCTGAGCGCTTCGGGATGTTACGTGTGGAATCTCGTTCCCCCTGAACGGGCCTCCCCGTTTTGGGATTCACGGGTCGGCGCCAGCGCCGAAGTGGAAGTGACTCGAGGCTATCTGGCAACGACAAGCCCAAGTCCCGGGAGCTGTGCATGAACAACCCAGCCACCTCGGCGAAAGGATCAGGGCAACGAACCGCTTCGAGCCATGGGGCTGTGTGCTTTGGAAGGCCAGTCTCTTTAGTTGGACTTCCGTAAGGCTTGGCCAACCATGGTGGTATTTTTTCCCCTTGCCCACACGAACAAGGGTGATTGGGAACCATGAATCAATGTAGGCTCTTCTAATGAAGCTGCAGAGGATTGCGAGTTGTGCTTCTCAAATTTACGGAAGTCGGGTGGTTAATTCCTTGGGTAGAGATTTCCATCTCCCTTTTCCAAGCTATCATGTGGATGTGCACAAGCAATTCCAGAACTGCCCAAGTAGCTCACATGCCACCATCAAAGCTACCTGTTGGAAAGTAGCCCATACTGAGTTTGTCGGCGTGCCGCGAAGCGGAAGCCTGGTAAGTTTAGTACGCCGAGGTCTTCTTCATGGCAGTCTGTTGCAAGGGAGCACGGGGCGAATGAATCCGAGGGGAAGATTACGTGGCAGCTCTCAATGTTTAGCTGTCATCCGCGTGGCTGACTTGTGGAGCAGGGCAGCATGCAACTAAGATTCCTGAAGGAGGCGGCACTGAAAAGGGGGCTGTTTGCTGCTCTTGCCGCATGTCCTTATTACGTACCAAGACAAGGATTGGAAGCAAGGTGGAGAGGGTTCCCTCATGTTACATAATATATGCATATTGTAGCCAACTGTGCTTTGCTTTCGTCTGTTGTGAGGGTGAGAAACCGTGGCGTGTTTGTTCCGCATGGATCGCTGCTCTTTGGGCTGTTCCAATGAGATGCGTGTCGGCTGAGGACCTCTACAACTACACCATCGATGTGTTCCATGAGTCAGCCATGCAATGGCTAGAGGAGGCTGCGAAAGGAGAGGAGCCCTTCTTTCTGTACGTGCGCCTGGCCCTGAGTCTGGTGTGTTTTGCGCGGGCATTTGGAACCTGAGCCGGCACGGCCAAAGGGTTTTCAGTGTTTGGTCTGGACGTACAGGGATGGGTAGTGGGCCTCCATCACATCACAACATGAGGTTCACCATTCAAAACACTCGCTTTTTAGGGTAGAGATGCATGCTACACACACCCGGTCACCAGGGTACGCCAGCAGTGGAATCGCGACGTCACGAAGACATGGCTCCCATGCTGGGGTCCTTTAAAACAGGACATGAACAGCATGCGCAGATTCCATTGTTTGAGGTTTCCATTCCGCGGATTTGTTCACAGACTTCATATTGGTGCTTGTGTGTTTGTGTGTTTTGAGGCCTCCTTTTTCACCTTGGTTTCCAGGATGACCCAGACCTTTCCATCTCAGGAGCTACACCATCCCGCACGCCGGGGGCTGGGGAGATGCGCCCAAAACTCCGGAGGATGGGAATCCGGTGCCTTCCGACTTGCAGCGCCTTGGATTCCAAAGAGAGAGATAAATCCAACTATGGGACTACCGAGGCGGATAAGGGCAAATGGGTGTGTTCTTTTTTTTAAGAAGGAATCAGACCCCCAAATTGGTGGTGTTCCTGTGGTTTCACTTCAATACCACCAAAAAGGGGGGCCCTCAAGAAAAGATACACACAAACAACTATGCAACTTGTCTCATGATCAATGGTTAAGTTGGTTTTAGAGTACCCACACCAGATCCACGGATTCACGTGCGCAATTCCCTGGGATATGAGCAACGAACATCGGACTACCGATTTTGGGTGGGCCGTGTCCTGTTAGTTGTGCAAGCTCCTGGGTATCGGTCTGAGGCACTTCCGTATCGGTCTCTTGTAAGAATACTGCGCGTGTGCTGCGGGCAGAAACATCAATGTAATTACCCTTTGTGCAACCTCATGTGTTTGTCGGGGAATCCCCTTTTTTAATAGGGATTCCTACCCAACATACTTACGAAGTTTCTTTGCTTTTCAAAAGTCACAGTTTGCTTGTTGAGCGTTTTGGAGTCCAATGGGAGTGCTTGCATATATGTTTGCTGCACTGGCCCGTATCATTTCCAAAGCCTCGGCCCGAGGACTTGTTGGGGGCGGGCTTCACGCTTTTCACCTTCCAGTTTGGGATGTTTGCCGTGGGAACCTGAAGAGCATCGAGAGTCGCCTTCAGGACGTTTGAAGGATATGGTCTCAGGCCACAGTGAGTAACCTTTAGGTATAACCTCTCACCCTGGTTGTTTCCTTTTGATGTCCCTTGAAAGCCGTCCAAGAGGGGGTTCCAAGGTTCCAATTAGAAAAGGAGCCTGGGGCCCTTCTGACTCGGGGCCTCTTTTCGACGTCCCTTTTGGTATTTGTTCTTGTGCTGACGCTTGACGAGGTATGCGGACAAGCCATGGCCTGATGTTGAGAAGGACGGAATGGATGCCGAAGGCTCGCCCTTACATCTTTGGATTGATGAATGGATAGCCACCTCAATCGCATGGGGGCAGAGTTTTGTGCGCGTGTGGTTGTGTTGTTGTTCTCTGTTGGGGTTATTCACCCTCTTTCTCAAAATCATGCAAGTGGCCAGCAGGCCGTTTGTGGATGGGGGGGGTCTTCCAAAGTTCTCCATTTCCATTGGAAGAAAAGTACCCTTTGGTCCACGCATTTTTGTTTGAGCTCGGGAACAAGCCGAATCTCCACTGACTTGGCTATCAACATAGGGGTACACCCGATCATGGTGGTTGTCCTATGCTGGTTTCGCTGTAAACCAACGTCTTCACGTGCACCCTCCAAGAAGCATCCTCGGATTCGCAGGACCACGCGGCTGTGATCACGTACCTCGACGCCAAGGTGGGAGACATCATGGCCCGGTTGAAGTTCTTGGGAGTGGACCAGAACACATTGGCGGCTCGGCTCCACCTGGGGCTGACAAAGATTATCTTTTTTTTGTGGGTGAGTTTGGCTAGGAATAGATGGCACTGGTTTAGATTGGCCTTATTCCATTTGCCAGGGCCAACTATTTTTCCAAAAGGTCTGGTGACACTGGTGTCATTTTGTGGCGCCTTGAAGGGGGTGTTCGCGTAGGGCCCATTGCCTTGGAGCCCAGCTCGTTTCAAGGGTCCCCTTGGCTTCGCTCCATCTTGAGATGGGAGGCCCTCATGGATGGTAGCAGGTGGCCCCCATGCGATCGGAGGTTCGCGCACCGGGCATAGGAGCTCGAAAGTACGACGCATATCTTCTAAGATCCTTTCAGAGTTGAGCTCTCGGTGGAGAGTGGATATGGCGGGTCGAAGCGGTTAGACTTTGCAAAGGCAAGCGCAAAGCCCAGGGAAGGTGTGTGGACCACAAAAAGCATCAGTCAATAATTGCTGTCATCTTCTGTGCTGGAGGAGGTGGCATGTGGGATCATTTGGGTATGATCACAAGAATACCACTGGGGGGGGGGTGTACTCACCAAATTCAGATATCATAGTAGTTAATGGGTGTCACCAGGCCAAAAGGGACCCTTGATTCCGAGGATGAACTGGATGAACTGGTGTTCCAGCATTGGGACCGTGTAATACGTGGCTTCATTTTTTTCCGGAGATTCGCCACCTCAGGTGGCCCCCCTCGAACGTAACGACGCACATGTCTTCGCTGATCGGGAAAAGAGGGTCGACTTAGGTCTTCTTCGCGTCCGACAATGGCGCGCATTTGGAGGGGGGCCACAAGATCCAGTTCTTTGACTCCACTGGGGGCCTGCCGGGGCATAAGAGGCACGACGCAGGTGTTGATCGAGACCTCCTCAATGAAATCATATCAGGGGATAAGTGATAAGAACGGGTTTGTACTTGAAGATCAAATTAAAGCAATGATCAGAAGACAATCATAAGTGGACTGTGTGGAAATTAGTTGGCCCCATATATTATTTCTTGGAGGAGGGTGGGGGGGGAGGATTTTCCTTTGTCAGCTTTCCCCAACGTAGACTTCATGGGGGTGGGTATGCTGGGAATGATGCCATCTAGCCGGTCATTGCTGTGGCTCAAGTCGGTCTGGCTCCAAAATCGGGTCCCCAGACTTGAGCCTGTAGAAAACCACGCAACAGCGAGGTTCTCCCCTGGCCCTGGGTCCATCTTGAGCGCCCAAATCGGTGACTGGGCTCAGTCCCTGCTGATCCTCTTAAACCTGAAGCCTCCAGTTTCATCGCAAAAAAAAAACGAGCTGGAAGCAGAGGTGTGCTTCTGGAGCTCGTTTGGTTAGGAATAGATGGCACTGGTTTAGATGCGGTTGCCCTGGTAGATTCGTCCAAGAGGGTATCTATGGCTGGAAGCAGGGAAACCTTGGGCCTTGAAAGGCGGCCAGTTGGGCCGGGGAAAAAGGGGGGCTGATCTGTGCCAATTGAACGGGAGGTTCCAAGCCATAAACAAAAGCTGCGAATCAGCCACTTGCTAAGTTGCTTGAAACCGGAGCAGAAAGCAGTCTTGGAGGAGAATTAACCCAAGCAGAAATGACCAAGAACTGCATTGCGAATGAACTTAGCTTTGGAGCAGATGCTAAGGTTGCAACGCAATGAAATCCATTTCGCAGGAGCATGTACGAGGGCGGCGTTCGCTCTCCCAGCATGGTGCGATGGCCTGGGCGAACCTTGACAGTGCCAAAATTAGTCTCTTCGAGCTAGGTGATCCTTCAAACGGCTTCAAGACCCATCTGAAAACGGTTTACAGCTTTGAGACAGACCTATATATGCAGACTTTACGTAGATGATTGCATAGTGGTTAGTGTTTCTTGTCGGCCCCCAGATTGTGCCTCGTCCAAAGAGCACCCAGCCAACCAAAGAGCACTACCCCCCTTTCCAGGTGCATTCTCTTCGGGGATTGAAAGATCCCCCATTCTGTTTAGCCGTCCTTCTTTTGAGAACCCCCCCCCCCCTCATGTATACGGTTTTCCGGCTATGCTCTAAGACTCTAACAAAAGAAGGAGCCCTGCAAAGAAGTACAGCTGACCTGTTTGGACCCCCCTGAGGCATTCAGCCGATTTATCCTTTGCAAACCAACAGTTTGCCCGCAAACAATGGCCATATGGGTATGTCTTAGCAAAGTAGGGACTTGGAGCCCGAACATGCAGGTGTTTCTTGTGTCCCTTTAGACCGATCCAAACAAAGGTACCCTGAACCTGACACGCACATGTATATATAATGTATGTGTATATAAGTTAGCATCAAAATTACCGTCATGTACTTTATATGGGGGTGTTTCATGCACGTATTGTGTTTGCGTTGTTGCTCGAAAAACGATACGGGACGTCCAAAAAAACGATACCCCTTAAGCAAGTTGGCATTGGTCGCAAACAAAAATGTCTTGTTAGTTTGTGTGTTCTCCTAGAGCATGTGTTTATTTGCTTGGTCGAGACTTGCAACTAGGCCCTTCCTCTGCAAGGGTTGCAGGGCAGTGGGATCAAAAGGGAACTTCACAGTTGGAGCACCAGCTGGCTTGTGACAAGACACGTGTGGCAAAAACAAGCTGTGCTTGAACGGGGCGAACGTTTCTAGCATGTGTCCACCACATTGCAGGGGTAACTGCCGGCCAGCAAAAAGCATTACGAGTTGTAGTTGGGCAAAAGTCTTTCTTGCAGCGTTTGCCTTTTTGAAGGGGATGTAAAAGTAGTTCTCCGTTCAGTCAAGCAAGTTTAGAAGGGGTGCAACTGTAGTTCTCCGTTTGGTCAACGAAGCTCAGAAGGAACTTGCGCAATACTGGAACTCTTTCGAAGAATGCGTGCATCTGCACTCTGCGCACGAAAAAGCTACGAAAAAGGCTAGAAAGCGCGAGAGCTGGAGGGTGGAGCGTCCATAGACGGAAACCAAGACGGCAGCTATGCATTCTGAGGATGTCCCGCTGGCTTGCCCTTTTGCTGGCCACGCAAGGTGCTTGGGAGGTTACCTTTCTTCGGCCGCAAGCAAACTGCAGGACTGCATTTTGCACGCTCCAGCGCTTCTCTGAGGCTCCGTAGAGCGGAAGTAAGACAGTTGTCAAACAGCGCCGCTTCGAGAAAAAACCGACCACCAAAACGATACCCCAAAACGATACCCCGACGATACCCCCGCAATGGGGCAGGATGCTAAATGTCGGGGGTGGCCCACTTGACACCAAAGCGCTACCCCTGCAGTTACGAGGAGACACACATTTGGGGGTGGCTTGTGAAAGAACTGCAATGCTGGAGAGCAAGGATTGTAATGCCAGGAATTGCCAGGCAGCCTCGCAGCCGTGCAGCCACAAACCGGCGGCGCTGGGCTGACACAGGAAGAATCACGATGGGTTGAGGAGTGCGTGTTGAGGAGAAGTGGAAAGCTTTGACCCAGGAGGGGCAGCATGCTCGCGTAGAGAGAGCTGCCTCGGCTCCAAAGGCTAAAGGCTGAGCCGAACAGCGCGGAAAAACAATTGTCAAGGTGATCGCGAAGAGTGCCCGCGAGAAGGTGAAGAAGACCACCGCGGTGAGGAAGCCAGCCTCGCGGCTCCAGCGCCGGCGGTGCCGCGGGGGCGTGACAAGCATCTTTGGACGCAGCCTTGTCCTTTCTCCCCAAGCGGCTGCACGTGTGCCCTGGGTGTGAAGCGAACAACCCCAGCTCCAGCAGCCAAGCGGGTGAGGAACTACATTGACGCAACACTGCGTGAGTTTGCTGGCACACCGACTTGAGGAGGCAACGAGATGAGAGAAAGCGTGGCGGACCCAGCAAGGGGGAGAGCTGATTGAGAAGAGGTGCAAAGCTAGGCAAAAAGCAGCGGCGCAACAGCCGTTGGAGGAGGACTCTGTGTCAATTGCAAGTTCCTCCTCCTCAAGTCTGAGGGGGGCTAAAAGGAATCTGCGGCCCGTGGTGTGAGTTGCCTTGCTTGCAGGGATTGCGCTTTGGCCGCCGTGTGGCTTTATACCGGGGAACGCCCGCTTGTGGGAGCTTCCATTCCGTTGCTGTTTCGTTGGCGCTGTCCCCGCAAAGAATCGTTTGTTAGCAAGCACGGGGGCAGGGATGTGTCCCGTATCCACGGCCTGCAAAACGATACGGGACGTCCTTTTTAAGCAAAACCTGTAAAACGATACGGGACGTCCTAACACCAAATGAATACACCCCAGACAAGTAATTTTGACGCTGTCTCATATATATATATGTATACATTGTACAGGCATGCATGTATTTATTTATATACACTGTACACATATATATATATATATGTATAATGACATACCCTTAAGCAGACGTGTATATATATGTATATTCACACGGTATTTGTATACGTTTAGCATGAGTTTTTGTTGATGCAAAGATGACTGTCCCCACGAGGCATTCAGCCGGGCCGCAGCTCCAACTTCCCCTGGGCCTTCTGGGATGTACTGCCCACTCTAGCGGAGCTGGCCGGCGCGCCAGTGCCGCCAGGCGGATCGCGGAGCGCGGAGGGCGGATGTCACCGAGGGTGAAGCTTGAAGCTTGCTGGTGCGAGAGATGGGTAGGGAATGATGTGGTTGAATGAACCCAGGCTCTGGTCCCCCAAGGAAAATAATCACCAGTTGGATGGTGTGTTTTGTTTTGTTTAAGGGTGATTCCAAGTCTCATTCCATGCCCGTCGCACCAGCAAGTTTACTTGGGGATCCAATTCGCATTGGTTTTGGAGTTGGGAAACCTGCAGAAGGGCTGTGTGGTGGACCACAGCTCGCCGATGTTGGGGGGTAAGGCCCGTATCCCGGCTCCGTTGCTCCGTTGCTCCATTGCTCCCCCAATATCCATAGAAAGTGGGGGAGTCGCCAGCCTTGAAGTCCGACATATTCTGGATTCCACGGACGCACTCAACGGTCGTCAACACACCAACTACCAAATGTTGATGGCTTCTTGGCGTCCACGCCAGGCCTTAACCCTCAAGCCCAAACCAATTCTGAGCTTCACTGTGGAGGGGGTGTGCTGCCATTTTCAAAGTGAAACGCTGCAATGCTCGGGACATGCTCAATCTTGGAAAGCGGATATATCATGAGAGCCTTTACCTTTGGTTCCTTTCCGGGTGACCCCTCCTTGGTGGAACCCAATGGAAACAGTGCCAGTTTGCAGGGCAGAGCCTGCAAGGGGACTCTAGCTTGGATTGTGTTTGAAACCCACGAGGCAGACGATCCAAGGTTGGACATGTCAAGGGAAAACCCATCCAATTCCAGATCCCAGTTCCCGCCACAGGCCACCGGGGATTTTTTCCGGTATTTGGTTGATTGGCTGGCACGTGGAATCACAGGGAGTGTGTGAATTGAAACGAGGGCGCAAAATGACGAGGAATATCAGGGAAACCACCCAAGTGAATTTTTAGTTCATGAGCGGCAAAGTCGGTGAACCTCAAATGGGGGTGCTCTTGTTTTTTTTGGGGAACGGCGGTTTCCCGTTTCGTTTTCATCCAAAAAGGGGCACCCCTTTCAAAAAGCGGTACACCCAAAAGGCCGAGAGTGAGACATCTTCAAATTCGAGCTACCCAATCTCCAACGAAAGGCCCCGGTTCACTTTTCAGGCCTGGACGGCCTCAGCATCGCTCAAGAGCTCACGGGCTTGCCCCAGAAGGTGCGGTTTCCATCTAGCGCGCAACCGGAAGAATCGGAGAAAGTGGGCTTCTCGAAGTCAAACAACTTGGCATGTTTGTCCATGGTAATTGAAACTTGAGATTTGGAATGCACCACTTGGAAGGGCGTCGTCATTGCACCAATGCAATGCAATGCATCAGATGCTTCTGGCCCTTTGAGAACCTTCTTTTCGATGTCAGGAGCACGAGTACCTCTACTTCACCTGGCTCGGGGACGGCGGAAAGGTGAACTCTGGGCCTCCTGGGTACACAGTGCGGCAAGGGCAGTGGAAGGGCATGGTGCCCCACTGCCAAGAAGCATCAGTGCTGCCGCCTGCCTGGAGTTATTCTTCAGATTTGCACTTGTCTTTGCAAACCATCCCAGAAGGGAGTCCCCTGACATGTAGTAGCAACTCCCGGAATCAACGGTTTGAACGCAAAAGGAGCCATGGGTGGCCCCAAATTAAAGCTGCTATGTCAGAGCGGACGCGGCCATCAGACTTGACAAGTGGATTGAATTGGGGATGCACCTAAAAAAACACCTAGTATAGAACAGCTGGTACAGGTGCTATTTTTCAGTTGGCCAACATGTATCTCTGTCAAGCAACGGGGTTGCTCCATTGCAGCATGCGCTATTAATGCACATGCTGAACCGGCGAATTGTCCGCCGCGAGGGCTTGCGGCGGTCATTTTGTTTCATCACTTTTGTCTCCAAGCGACTTTTTCGGGGGGAGCCCCTTTCAGTTCTGCCTTTCAAGCCAAACAACAGGGTGGTTCGGCACAATTTGCAACCCATTTTGGTCTCATCCCCTCACGTTGCCCCTCCCCGGAGCTGTGAGAGGCCCAGCAGTGGGGACGAGATGCGGCTCTATGACCTGTCCGCTGACCCGCTGGAAACCACGGATGTGTCAAAGCAACACCCAGAGGCTGCGTCAACGGGTGGCGTCTCTGGTGGTTGTTTTATCCGCTAGCCCGAATCCCTACCCTCGAGGGTTTGCTGGATACACAGCCAGTATGAAGGGGAATATTCTCCAAGAAACCCTTGCGACTTGTTTTCCTTAATTAGAGTCGCTCGAAAGAGTCAGTCCAAGATTATGTCGAAGGCACGACTATGATAGCTCCTGCCAGCAGCATACCTTGCCAGTTAGTTGATAACTTCAGCTATTGGTAATAGCCGATTCGCCAGGAAGTCAAATTTGCGCTTTGGTTGCTTGTTGCGTTTTCTTGGTTGGTTGAGTTGTTAGCAACACAACCTGCTAGTTGGTCGGTTTGGTTTTTGGCCGCTCAGTGTTTTCTTAGTTGGCATTCCCTTTACTAGGATATTCGCGACGCCAGTCTTGTGTCTCGTTGTTCGTTCATTTTCAGGTTTGCTACTCGCGGACTAGCCTCGACCGATATTTGTTGGGGTAAAAAGCCGAAACTTTTTCAGGAGTAGATGGATCAAAATTTAATTACCAGGGGACCGCAGGTTTTAGTCCTTGGTTCTATTTGCCATGGTTCGTACTGCCCCCAGCCAAGTGACGGTTTTCGTCAGGTGGTCCAGGGGCTCAAGGCTTTGGTCATGAAGGAAAAGCTCACCTGCTACTGCTACCAATGCGGCTGGACCCCGCCCAAGGAGTCGGCGCAAGCTCTAGCTATGAAGGTTATAAAGCTCAAAGGGTGTGTGTGTGTGTGTTTTCCCCAAAACTGTGGTTTTCCTTGTGCTGTCCCTCTAAAAACCACAAGAAACCAGTAGCCCTCCAAACATGGACAGACCTTTCAAATCCCAAGAAACATGTTTAGAAACATATTTCTCTTTGGGGGACCCGCCTTTTGGGGTTACATGTAAATTTTCAGGAGAGTGGTGTTGGTGTGCCAAGCGGTCAGCAGCATCTTCAGAGTGTGCGGTTGGATCCACTTGTGGCCGGGACCGTGGGATCCGCTTCGTAACACCTCTGCGGTGAGGGACCTTTTGCTCCAAATTCACAAGTTCCAAACTTCAACCGCCGTCCTTCCAGCGGACGTTGTAGTTGGTCTCTTGCCTGTCCAGGAACTGAGGAACCACTGTCGTATTTGTTGTTTTTCAGCTTCACTTGCTGGTAGGGTACAACTGAGCCAGCACCAGACAAACTGTTTATGTTTGCTCAAATGAAGCATTGTTGAACTTGCCAACGAAACAACTTTTACGTGTTCTCCAGCTGGTTATTCTACCGTGTTTGCTCCAGGTCCATGTTTGTGTCCAGCTGGTTTCTTTCTGACACGGTTCCAGAACCTTAACACATGGCCAACAAGAATTGGCGTGCATGTCTTCCCTTCGCGGCACGACAAAAACAACTGCAACTGCCCCCGGTCTCCACGATTGGTGCTTGCAAACGGCATCCGCCGGAGGAGCCGGCTGAGCTGGTGGTTTGAGCTTGCTAGCCTCCGGCAGGGCGCTCGCGCTGATAGCAAGGGCGTCAAAGTCGCGCGACAAAACTGGTCGGGTGCCGCTGCCTGCGACAATTTCGGAGAGCGAAGAATCACAGGGGAGAGGCTTCCAAGCACAGGTTTGCCAAGCTCATTCCCCGCGAAAAGCAAAAGGGATCAAAAGGGGGAAATTCGGACCAGTTGCGCTGCGGCGCGTGGCTGCCCGTCCCAGGGTGACAATACACAGATGATCCCAAGCCTTGGCAATACTAAGCTAATACCAAAGCAACATAGAAGGACATAGATAAAATAATAATCTCTGGTACCAAGGAAGAACAAACAAACACCAAACCAATTCTACAGACTACTCAACCAGGACAAGACTAAACCACGACTAAACCAATTCTAAGCTTCTAAACAGTACTGGGGCAGCTCAAAAGAATGCTCAAACAAATCCAAACCAGTACTAAGCAGTACGTACCAGAGACTGCTTCAGTAGGTCCAACTCGGACCCCCAATTTAGTGTTTTCCCCTGTCGACCCCTCCCCCGCCCACCCCTCCCCCCTGCCCCAATTTGTTTGAGGCGGGGGCGAAGTGGGGGCGCCTCCCCTTGCTGTTCACTACCCAACATGAATGCCAGTTGACCAGAGGCAACCTTAGATCATTGTTTGTTCTTTTTCTGGGTTGGTTTTCTGGGGTTTTTCCAAGGTTGACCAGAACAGAGGCAACCTTTTCTGGGATGGTTTTCTGTTCAAATCAAGCAAGGGCGCCCGTTTTTTTCCCCCCGCTTTTGCATCGGCCAGGCATGGGCGCCGAAGGCGAAGGCGGCCTCCGAGCCGGGAGTTCGGCTCCGTTTGGGAACTATGCCCCCTTATTCCTTTGCTGACCGGAGCCTGGGGTCTTGATGCCGTCCTTTACCCAAACCGTGGCGTGGGGGTGCCCCTTTTGCCCTGCTGTTTGGGCAGCTGCTGGTTGTGCAGCAGAAACAGAAGTCAAGGCCTTAGCACATTGACAGGGTACGGGGAACGGTCCGTTAGGCGGACACAGGCCGTTCGGCAATGTTGTTTTCCAGGGGAGGGGTATATCAGAAATGCCACGTGGCTCGCTCTAATTGAGTTCCCGTTTAGTTTGTATGTGCCACAGGCAAGCAACTTGCTGGCTTGTGACTGTTGCTTTTTCAGGGGCGGTCATGAATCCTTCAAATTTGGGGGTGTTAGGAGCAGCGCCAGCATGAACGCCTGCGCCTGATCACCCATGCTAAAGAAAAAGCTGCTTGGCTTCGAACATGCCTCGCTTTGTCATGCCATCTCCTTTGCGAACGTCATCTCCATGCGGCCATCTCCTTGTCAACAGTGTCCCATAGCTCGGCACTGCAACGAAAAACTCCATGGCGCTCAGCCTGGTTTCTTATCAGGTGCCCCACCGAAGCCCCAAGAATCAAAGCAGGTGCCCCGTTCTGTCTTTTTTTTGTTTGTTTTTTCCCCCCGAAGGTCTGGACCATCTCAACCAGGAGTTGTTTTGTTCGGTCCAATCGCGCTGGACACCGCGCCTTGCAGGTGGAGTCCAGGGCTATCCGCAGGCGTTTCGGTCACCAGCGGGTTGTTCGGCGGAGGTGACGTGGTGCTGGATGGGAGCCACCTTCTTGCGACTTCCGGCTGAATGAAACTATAGCTATGCGCCACTGAGCACAACTCTAGGGACGTTTGGGCAGCTGCTTGCCAAGTTCATGACACGCAGCCTCATGTGCTAGCATTTTTGTTTGACATAAACAGAAAGAAGAAGCTTGGGAATATATGGACCTTGGGAATGCATGGACCATGGTCATCGATGGTAATGGTGCCTTGCGACCGGAGGTTGATTGGGATGGCGATCTTAGTCTACAGTTGGGAAGAATCGAACAACATAGAAGTTGGGAGTCGTGACACTTCCTCTTTGTTTGATCATGGCATAAGGCATGGACCATGGTCATCGATGGTAATGGTGCCTTGCGACCGGAGGTTGATTGGGATGGCGATCTTAGTCTACAGTTGGGAAGAATCGAACAACATAGAAGTTGGGAGTCGTGACACTTCCGCTTTGTTTGATCATGGCATAAGCAAGTCACCCACCCGAACTGCGAACCAGCATGATCCATGTCCAGCTCTTTCAGTTGTGGCCATGGCACGAACATTCGACGGCACATACCAACTATCTTCGTCATCACCACCATCATCATCATCCTCATCCGCATCGTCACCTCGTCAACAACAACATTATCAGCATCATGGGCGTCATCGGCTTGCACCTGCGGCATACTCAAACGCAACACTGATAAATTGGAGGGGGGATTCTCACTGCTTCTCAGGACAGCAATAATCCAACCGATATTGGGGTGGCAATAGTTTAGATGTCCTTGTTTGCTAATTCCACAGAGGCCTATTTATGCATTCAGCATTGTTTCAACAAGTCGAGTTCTGGGACCCTGATCACGGCAGCATCCAGTTTCCGTCCCTCAGAACTTAGAACGCATGATAGTTTGACTCCCTGCCAATCATGGCAAGCTCATGTTAATTTGATGCGAGATCCAAAAACTGGTGATGAAAGCGGTTTAGACAGCTGGTATCCTCAATTGGCATTCTTGCCGAAGACCAGGTTGGCAAAACTATGTTGAAACATGGCCTTCAATGCCAAAGGATTTATCACATCCAGTTCTAAGAGCGCAATTGGATGAACCCAGCCCAGCATACTGCACAACTGACAGCCAGTTGAACAGCGAAAGCAAACACCACTATCGGCAGCTGCCTGGTGATGTTGGAGCATTCCCCCTTTACCCAGCTGGACCACTGATTGTTGGTTTCATGGTGGTTCCGTTCGCAAGCGCACCAAATCCGAATTTATACCTATATTGTGTGACAGGGCGTGCCGCTTCGACACATCATCAAGCTGTATGATGTCCGCACAAGCCAAATCTGTTCAACTGCATACTCACACATTGACATCTCATGTGCCGACACTGACCTGTGTGACATCGACACATTAGATCTACATATACTCTATAGAATGTATGCACACAAATCAGCATACAATATACGGAATATATGCAGACATACAGACATAATATACATAATTATGTACATATACTGTGGATGGCCGAATTCCTGCACCACCCAAGACACCTTAGAACGATGATTCCCCTGTAAATGCTTTAAATGCCAAATAAAACATGTTTGCCCATGGTGCAGGATTTCGTACATCCACAGTATGATTAGTATGTAACTCCGTAATATGTGGGTCAAAATTAATCCACCAGACCGCAGGTTTTAGTCTTTGGTTCCATTTACCAGGGCAAGCCATTTTGGGGTTACCCTATTTTTGACCCACAGCCATATGGGACACCATCTGTAACATCCAGTCCGAGCCCCGCGTTTTCTTTCGGCGCTTTGCCAGGCGCTTCCCCACCGCGAGGCCCGGCGCTTCGCGCGGCGCAGCACCGCCCGGAGCCCCTGATGCGAGCCGATGGCTTTGGAAGAAAAGAAACCAGACATGAATGGAAATGCCAGTAGACGAATACCCTTATATATATATATGTATTACTGTATACATATACATATATACATATACATATATATGTTCCTGGTTCACAATTGAGGTTAGCCTTTTGTGAGGGTCGCCTCAGAGAGGAACCAAAGGGAAAGCCATCAATGCTGTTTGTGTGTTTGACACACATATGTTTTTCATGGTTATGGAAAAAGGGCCGGCAAGTGCCCACTTTGGTATCACAGAACTGATACTGTTCCTACAACCATGAGTGGTTTCCAAGCCGGTTTCACATGTGTTGATAGCCTCGGCTTTGCCTTTGTTACGGAAAAATGGTGTCCTCTTTAGCTCCCCTGACAGCAATGAACGAACGAAACGAATCCGGGTCTCTGAGCACTGAGTGTGCGACTGGGGGTGGCCAAAAGAAAAGACAGCAACCCAGGAAAAGGGCGCCGGGCTTCAAAAGGAACCGCATCCAAGTGGGTAAGAGAGGTTGAGTGGAACTGGATGGTTTTCTGATGGTGTCAGCCCCCAAACCGGGTACTGATAGGCCCGGGCGTCGAAGGGAGGCTCAACCATGTCGGCTGAAGAAATGCCGGGCTTACACCATACGGGTGCCTCATGTTCAGCCTGGTTCCCAATCTGTAATATATACTAAAAATAGATGTTCATATGTTTATACGTATATGCGAGCCGATGGTATGGAGTAGCGCAATGCTACTCGGACAGTATAAGACCTGGTCGGGCCATCAAAGTTGGGGCCCCGAGGTACCACTGGTACTGCTCGCGCGATGCCGTGGAGACCGCAACAAGTCCGGCTATATGTATATGCAAATATCGTTATATGTAATTAAGATATACTCATATCATACACTAACATAATATGTATATCTATACATGTTTATTATACTATGTATATATATATGTGAATACATATTCACATGTATCTATCTTCACGGCTTTGCGTTTTGTGCGACAAACGGGTCCCGGGGGTTCCCCGTCCCCTGCTCGAGGCCAAGTATCTGCGGAGCATCTCCGAGGACTGCGCCTTCGTGGCCCGCGCGCCGAGACCTCGGGACCTCGGGCGAATGGACCGCGGCAGTTTGGACGGGTCCTCCGCTTTCCAGCCGTGGAGGTGGGTTCTTGGGGGGGGAGGCGTAGGTGTTTTTTCCAACAAGCAGGTGGGTTCTTGGGTGTTTTCCCGAAAGAAAAGTAGTCGTTCAAAGCTTCGTGAGCTTCCTGATTAGAGGGATTGATTGGTGAACCCACTGGTTTAGATTGGTTTTATAAACCATTTATCAGGGCCGTCGATTTTTTCAACTGGTCACCTATGCCTATGGGTGGTGTCTGAGTGGTAAACATTTGCGTTTCGGGGTCCTATTTTTTTGGCGAAACACCCGTATGTCAACACAACCGATGTTTGGCCAATTCAAGGTGAGTTGTCATTAGTACTCAGCAGGGGTGATGTTTATCAAGAAGACCTATTATAGGGGACTTCTGTTTCTTTTTGGCAGTTTGGGGGGAGAAGGGTTCCTTTGCTCTTTTAATTTGCCCTGAAAAAAAGATGTCATGTATTTAAAGTAAGACACCCTGGATTGAAGTTGTTTTTGGGAGCCCACAAGTGGAAACCTTGCTTTCAATGAGCCTACGCCTCCAAATCCAACCCTTTGGTTTGGGGGGCGACTCTGGGAACACTTGAGAAGAAAATGCGGGGCAACAAAGTTTGGGCTTGTATTTTAGAGATTTGGAGGAAGTGGGGCACCATTTTCGGTTGACGGGAAGCGAGATCAACCGACCATTCCTTTTGTTCATCTTATTTCGAGAAACTCCCAAGTCCTTCCCTTGCGTGGTTCAATCTGGGGGTGTAGTTTGATCAAATACGCTTCCCCCGAAACGGTGCCACCATGAAATATGGCATCTAATTCAATCACACCCAAAGTCGCCCAAAGATGGACATGAAATTCCCCCGCCTGTCTACCAAAGTTCATACCCCACATTTGCGCGCCGCTCAAAATCTAGATCAGAATCAAGCACATGTTGTGGTCAGCAGAACGCGGACGTCGGCTGGCTGTTTTTTTTGGGCCAGCCACTCGGCTTGAGCCGAGTCGCGAGGCGAGCAACGCTGGCACCCCAGTGGCCGCTTTTGGCCAACCTTCGCGCTGGCGCGGGGAAGCTCGGCCAGTTCTTTTCGGAGAAGAAGCGGATGGGTTCGCTGGGTGCCAAGCAACCTGTGTTCCCAATGTTGGAACTTGATTAGCACCCCCCCCCCTCAAGGTCGACAAGGTTTGGGGAAACCCGGATGTTGGGGGTAGTTTGGGGCTCCCTCGGATTTATTCGGACCTGGCAGTCCTTTGCGGTTCTTTCCTGTCTGGACCCCTGGCTGGCCAATAGGACTGCAATAGGAAAGTGAAGGGAATTCCATTTTGTTATTTTCCAGGGCTGGAGAGGCCAGGGCTGGAGAGTGATTTCTCGATTGTTTTGTGTTATTTGGGGGGTCTAACCTTGAAGGGGGGTACCGGTACCCTTTGCTTCTTGTTAAGCAAGTTGTAATAATGAATTTGCTCTTTCCGGCTAGCCATTTTTGTAATTTCTGGAATGGCAACCCTTGAGACCATGAAAGGAGTCAGTGTTGGCAACAGTATTGGCAATAGCTTTGGTAATTGTAAACCTGTTTTTTCCATTTTTGGGCCGAACAGGGGCGTCTTCAATCAGAGTTTTTTTTTGGGCCACCTTATGGGAGCCTTTAAAGTAATATTGGCTAACAGTCGGCTGGGAACATCAGGTGTCTTTCATGAGAGGGGGTTCACTAAGCAAGTTCTAAGATGAAAAGGACACCAAAAAGCAGGACCGGAAATTGTTTTTTTTGGAAGTTCGATACACTCTCTTTAAGACCCAGTTAAGTCAAGGTGGGCTCTGTCTTCACATTGGGGGGAACATCAAAAAGGTGATTCCCCTCAAGCCGTCCTTTTCGGCCAAGCACAAAATTGGTGCCCTCAAGCAAAGGACAGGTGCATGTGACTAAACATGAAATAACCCCTGAGAAATCAAAGCTGAGCACTGGACATACCCAAATGAAGGTGGTCGCCATGGAACCTTTTGGGGGATGCAGCCTGTTAAGTCCTGTGATGATTGCCATTTTTGTAACCTTTGTGCATCGACACTACGAGATCTCGCGGAATCCTTGTTAGGTACACCCACACACCCGTTGCTTGTTATGGCTCTGTCAAGACATTCAGGCGAGTCCACCAAACGCAGCCGTGCATGTTGTCCTTAACCGAGAGAAACAGGCTGGCCATTAAAGACATTGCTTTGTCCACCGGACCAAAACGAAATCACGTCTCTTGTTTTTGGAGGCAGGCGAGGGTGTTCGATATAAGAAACCTGTTGAGTTTCTGTTGAACTGCTGGGCCTGCCCCAAAGCGAGGCCTGTGTGCGCTCATGGCTTGTGGCTATAGCATGCATGTTGAGGCCCACATGTCTGTGTTGATGCTCTCTTCCAGTGTTGGAACCGAGTAAGAGGTAGAAAAGGGTTTGCAGCTTTCAACGGGATCACACCTACACGCGAGCGCGCATACATACAGATGCACATGCACAGGCACACACACACATCATACATCGTACATAATCATACTAATTGCTCCAATCAACACGGGACCCAAGAACTGGTTTGCTTAAAGCAGGTTCCTGCAAAACTGATTTGTTCAGGGTTCCATGTAAATATTCAGGACAGTACATGTTTTACCACAGCCCAACTCAAATCACGAGAGTTTTGCCTAGCGTTGGTCAGATTCTGGTGTGGCAGTCTTCCGAAGCCCTCCTTTCCGGTCAGGCGGGAACCAAAACCTGTTGTCGGCTTCACTTTGCTGGTGCGGATGGGTTTGGTGTGTCCCGGTTTTTCCCAGAGGAAGATGGATGGATTTGCCGGATCCCCATGAGTCACGTGTCATTTTGATTTTGGTCAGCCTTGTGACCTTCCCGGAAACATGCACAGTGAGGCCGGGGTGGTGGACATCACAAGCCTTTGGGAAAAAGAAGCTGCGAGTCATAGCTATAAGGGCAGAAGGGCCTCACAGTCAAGCACCAAACGAGAGAACTAGGATATCTATACCAAATGATATCCGATACTCTATACTAGTCTGGCTCTTTCACCCAAACTCAAACGATCCCAGGCCTGGTATGCTTCTCCCGACTCATTGGAGGGCACTTGCTACTTCAAGTCGATGGACGGCCATAGGAGACTCCGTTTCACCGTGGCCGGGCGTGTTTGGAGCACACAATGAGGACCAAATTGCAGGTAGTCACAGTCTATGTTGTTGTTTTTTAGGGGGTCCTGGAAGACGATTTTCCCTTTCAAGGGACCCTCTGGTGGGTTCCATGTTAGTGGACAGGAGGGTCGTCGATTTTTTGGTTTGTAGTTTGGGGAGGAAATGCGTGCCCACCCGAGTTTCAACACACACCAGGGCAAGGAGGGGGGGGGTGCCACCCATGTTTCTTACAAGAAGCAAGGACCTGGTGTACCAGGATTGCTATGATGACCAAACCGCAAGGATAGCATCCAGGGAAATTTGGCTAGGATTCCGTTGATTTCCGTTCTCAGGAATCAAGAAGTATTTCTTTGTACCCTTGTGCAAGGGGTTTTCGAAGTAACACTGCCTATGGGGTATTGTTTCGACATGGTTTGCCGTGCTGGACGCAAGGATGCTCCTGAAGCCTTACTAATGATGTTCACAAACCTGACACGCGTACTTCAGAAAGGATGGAGCCCTTTTGTTGCTGGCTTGAAAGGAAAAGACAGCGCAGAAACAAAACATAGAAAGGAGGGTTCTATTTTGTGGAACACCCGCATGAAGCAGTCATTTTGTCAAATGAGGCTCTTGCTAGGGCGCTAGTGGCAATGTTGTGCCCCAATTTAGAGGGTGGAGAGGGGAGGCTGCAAATAGGATATCGTCATTTTGGACAGCATGCCACGTAGACAATGACCACCTAGCTGCTTTTGACAGATTTTCAGGAAGCCCCTCCAGAAACAGGCTGATGTAATAGGGTGTCTTTGTAGGAGCTTCTTGAAGCGGTCAGGTTAGCAGGTTGCAGTCGTGGGAATTGGTTTGGTTACGATCAATCCACGCCTATGTAAGGCCCCCCTCATGAGGACTCCCATACAAGCCATGAGCATGGCCCACAGGACTTGATGGAACAGGTGGGTTCTTCGAAAGATGGCAAGACTTGTTGGATTGTGCCGCCTTTTTAGAGGGAGACCCAAAGAGGACCCCGAAATGGGGCAACCTCTCAAAGGGGGATGACCTCACATGGGCCAACCATGTGCTCGCAGGAATGAGTGGGACTTCAGCTTGATCCGCTTGAACCTGAATGTGGCGAGACTTGCGGCAGGCCTGCGCACTGCTTTCTTGAAGTAGCCAGTGCAGGGTTGCGCCGAACCTGAAAGGGACCCAACCACAAGGGAATATGGAAATGAAGTTCTAACATATTCCCATCAACTCAATAGTGGTTGGTAAAGGGAGGTTCCCCAATTCCTAAGAACAACCAACAAAGGTGACCCCACCACAAACAAGGGTTGAACATTGGTATTTGGTCCTTCTGCTTTGGGGCGGGTTTGGTTGGGCGTGGGGTTTGGGCGGCAGGTGGGGCTGGGATTTGGGGGTTGGGCTTTTGGGCAGTTTGGGGACCCCCTTTTAAAGCAAGAGCAGACCCCCTTCAAAACCCAATGGGAGCAAAGGGTTTGGGCCCCCTTCACCTCCCAAAGGTCGATGCTCCCACTCCTTCCAGCGGGCGGGGACCTTTTAACTAGGTCCTCCAGTAGTGCCCTTTCTCACCCTTTTTTGAGGGAGGGTTCCCCTACTAAAATAGACTACAGAAAAAAAAGGGTACCAATAGACTTATTCAAAACCAACTTCGTCTAACCTCTCAAATCTGGAGGACCTAATTAAAGTTGTCGAATGGGAGCAACGCGTTTGGAGCCACGGCCGCGCTGGCAGCCAGCCCCGACGAGGCCTGGGAGTCGTGTTGGTTGACTGCACCGGCAATCGAAGGCAGACCGACACGCCGCCAAACCCAAAACGGGGGGGGGGGAGGGAGGCGGTTCCTGGACTTCCAAGGGGCTGAAGAATGACACATATTCTCTTTGGTTACGCTCATGGATTTAAGTTTGGAGACCTCAGCCCCATCCTAACTGTTGAGGTAAAGCCCCTTTTGTGGGGCCTCGCCCGTATTTTCGGGCACCCAACACATTGGTGGGTGCGTCGAGAGATGTTGGTTCCGTTTCAAAAGCAAATCAAAAAGGGTTTGTGTTGAAACCTTTTGCGAACCCCTCTCAAAGAGAGAATTCAGGGCAACAAACATTTATTTGAAGAACACGCTTTGGGAAAGGCCAATTTAAAGCGTTGTTTTTGGTGACACGGCTTCTTGGAGCCCGTGCGCAGGCCAGCAAAAAGACCATCGCAACCTTTTGAGTAGCCAAAAAGGAACCTTTCGGACCACGCAAACTGACCCGGGAGGGGAGCGCGGTGGGGTGGGGGGTGGGGGGCGGAATGGTTACGTTCGTGGTCACAGCGAGGGCCCAAGAGCGAATAGTAGAGCTAGATGCCCGCAGTCGGTGGGATCCTTTTCAAAAGATAGTGCCAGCGCAGAATGATCGCTTTCGCATCGTTTTGTCTTCGGTTCCTCCCGAACACACTTGTTTGTCTCTGGTGATCGTTTTTGCAACACCCGGTCTCGATAATTCCACACGCAGGCCATACGAAACAGCGGTGTTACACCGGGCTCCAAGAAGCCGAGTTATACCTTGTTTTTGCAGCAGCAGCAGCAGCAGCAAACGTCACCACAACAAAGCAGCTCCTGAGTTGCCGGACCCTGCAGCAGCATTTGATGGAGCCTTGGGCACTGCCTGTGGAAAGATTTGGATAGGTGAAATGCTGAGTGCCATTTCTGGATCTCCACAGGCTGGCAGGCAGAGCACCTGAAAATGGTCTCAGCCAGGCAGCGTCTGAACGAACAGTTGAGCAGCGGGCTGTTGGAGAAGCCGCCGAATCCGCTGAATCTCGACCTTTTGCCTAATGGACCATGCCCAACTGCCAAGGCCCTGCCGCCCTAAGTGCCGAAACTTAGTCAGCCAGCCTGTGTCTTTGTCGTCATCAATATCTCGGAGCATTGTTGCATCCGGGGCACGTTGCAAACCCATGTTTGGGATGGTTTCTCCGGAAACCAAAGAACGCCGATCGCTGGCCCCTACGTTGAAGGCAGCCCAAACACAGCGAGGCGTGCGATGCAAGGGCCGGCCTCTCTTGCCCATGGCCCTACCTGGACAATCGGGCCGTCATTGCTGGCGCAACTGGGCAGGTCCGGGCAGGTTGTGCTTCTTGGTTGTTTCAGTTGTTCCCCTCGTTGCATCAAAGCTGACACAGCAAAGTTCCGGCCTTTGCCGATGGAGCAACTTGGTGGGCCACACCCAATGTAAGCCAAGGCGGCAAAAAGCGAGTAAAAGCATCGCTTGAGTAGCAGCAACTCAGCAAGCCTCTCAACTTGTAATTGGTGCGCCAGGTATCTGAGCCGCCCATCTCGAACCTTCGTGTCGTTCAATTGGCCCCCGCCCTTTTCAAGCGATCGCCAGAGAAAGTCGGGCACCTCCCTTCAGAGGCACTGTGCAAGCAAGGGTTCCTTCGTACCTTGCTGGGACTACATACAAGAAAAGGTATGCCACTCACACAAATGAAGCTGTTCCGCTCACCCGCAACTTTGGCAGGACTAATTCGGCAACATTGCGGGGAGTGCAGTGGCGAAAACCAGACTGGGGCATCAGCCCGAACACTACATGGCGTGTGCGCCCACAAATTCGCACCAAGTACAAAACCCGATGAGAGGCGAACAACAAGGGGATAGGTTCCTTTCAGTTTTTCATGAAACGCCAAACGTAAGCCACGTTTGATCAGTTGTTTGACACCCCCAAGCAGTTTCCTGAACGTGTCAGAATCGGGCACGCCCGTGGGGACGCCCGTTTCGTCCCGTCTTAAAGGCTTCCCTCCAAAAGGTGCCAATGTTGGCAGTATGTGACACGCCAATGGCAATTTGTGGGAACTTCCAGCATTCCCGTCAAGGATACCACAGATGTTTCTGGTTGCGAAAAGCGTAACCTTGCAGAACGGGGGTTGCCGAGCCTCATGATGGGGTTGCCTATCTCAGGGTCCCATATTCCAGGTTGGCCATGGGATACTGGTGACTTGCAACTCACCTTGGGGGACCCCGCGGGTCATGTGCCAATGGCAGGAAGCGCTTTCCTGATTCCATGCCGCTGCCTCAGGAAAGCCACTGGGGCTTGAGGTTCCATAGAACCATTAAGTTGAGCAAGATTCCTGCGGCGCTGGCCGTGCTGGATTGCACATGGGAAACGCCGGATGGGAAGCCCCCAGCAGTCTGTAGTCCCTTTGGGGGGGGGGGGCGATGAAGCACCAAATTTGTCTTTGGCGGTCAAAGGTGAACTATGAATCCATGCTACTCAGTATGATTTGCATTCCCCCAGCTGGCGTGAGCTCCGAAACTGATGACCGCTGGGGAAACGCGCAGAAAGTTACCAACTCTTCGCTTGGTGTTCGTTAGGCGTCGGGAGCAAACAGCGAGCTTTGCCGCAGAGCGCGACGTGGCATGAAAATCATGATGAATGATGTGACTTCACGCGCGCAAATGTGCGCGTGTGATGTGACTTCACCCGCGTTGATGTGACTGAACGCGCCCCCTTCTATGTGAACCCTTGGTAACCCCTGGTATGACCCCCTCCCTATTTTATTTGATTGGCCATCATATGTCTTGATTTTCAGAAAGCAACACTCCCAAGGGTCATGCGTTATATTGGCGTCCCAGCCGAGCCGCAAGTTTGCAGCTGCTCCAGGAGCAAGACAGTGCCGATTTGGTGTGCCGTCTTGCAAGCGGTGGTCGAGAACGCGGAGGCCGCGTGGCTGGATAGCAGCTCACTCCGGTTTTGGACATCCGTTTGTGTGAAGACCAAAGTAGAACAAGCAACATCGACATCTCAGGCTTTGTGATGCCTCAAATCTGTCCCAGGGCTTGCCTTGGTCGCATGGACAATGTATGCAGAACAGTCTATGTTTATTCCCAGTAGCCGTGGGGATCTTTTGGCAAAGTTGAGTGACGTCCCTTGGCCCGACCGGTTGGGGAGCATCAGCGAGGAGGGGTTCGAGGACCTCCTCCACTTGCCAAAGGACGTCGCAGGCTGAGCGTTCACAACGCCCAGCTGGGGGCAGTTGGCAAGCTGGGGCCACATTTGAGGGTAACCATGGCGACCCCAACCCAGTTGGTCAATGGCGCCCTCGCCCCGTTTTGTTTATTCGTTGGCTTGACTTGACAGGTTCCTTTTTTGAGCAACCCTTTTTGGGACTTTTGACGGGATCGTTGCGTCCAAAGGGACAGAGTGGCTACATCTCGGCCCGAATCTCGGCCTTCCTGGCGCCATGTGGCGCCTTTCCTCTTTTCCAAGTTCAGCGAAGGGCCGGGGGTTGTTCTCGAAGGGGGCCCAAACTTTGGAAAGGAAACCACACGGAAACCACCTGGGGTGTCCGACTCTCAGCAAGTGGCAACCAGGAATGCCGCTGTGCGAGGCCCAAGAAGAGCGATCGGCCATCCTGGAGCGAATGCCGGAGTGGGTTCGAAAGCATGGAGCCCAGAGGCGTCTTCCTGGAAGATCTTGCCCGAGTTCGGGCTTGAAAGGGAATGAATGGGAAGAGTTTGCGCAATATGGGTGGCATTCGCCGAGTTTGGCCAATAGACAGCTTTGAGTGATGCCCCAATCCGAGGCTTAGGGAGGCCTTGCTGCCGGCCAAAGTGACAGCGCTCGCGGGGGCGCTGCCGGGGTCCAAGTCGCGGTAGACGTGTTGGTGGGAACGCTATCCGGTTCCTTGGGTTTTTTGGCTTTTTGGGGGTTAGGGGGGGGTTTCCATTGGGGATCTGAGGTCCAGCCCTGTGCTAGCCCTTTAGATTCTTGACATGTTGCGGCTTGATTTTGACTGTTGGGGGGCCGAAATGGCAAGGCATCGCGTGGGGTTGGTACTCTGGCCCAACCGCACCAAGCACAGCTGGCGGAAAAGCAAACTTATCCTTATGATGAAGGTCCGGTACGATGGGTTCCCTTGTTTCAATTTTGTGATTTATGACATGTTGTTTTAGAGCACTCACCCAGGTTTAAGGTTGACAACAGCTATGAAGTTGAATAAGGAATTCCTTCCAAGGAATCCTTATGTAAATGAGGTCCACGCCAAGGTGTTCACGTCGGACCTTGTACTTTTGGGGAAAGTCACGGGGGTTTGGAAAGTTCATAGCAGCCAAAGGCAAACGAGCTACCTCCCAATTGGTCCGCACCCTTTCCTGTTCCAGTTGGTTGGTATGGCCACAGGCAACTAAGGTTTGACTTTTCGGACCTCGAGCACGATTCGGGCATTGTCCCAAAGGCTGTATTACATCAAAGATGACATGGGTTGCGTGCCACGCATAGGGGTTATGCTGGGAAGCTGGTGTTGTTGTGCGCAACCTTTTCAAGGGGGCTACCAAAGACTTTCTCAACACACAATACTTTAAGTTCCGGTGAGCTTCCCTGAAAAGCACCATTCAGCTCGGGTATTTTTGAGGATGCCCTACTAGATTGGCGCATTTCCCAAAAGTTGGTGATACTCCCCCACCTCATAGCAAACCCAAGCGCTCATTCGCATCTTTGTTTGTGTACCCAAAACTTTTAAAAAGCTTGGGAGGCAGCTTTGCGGATTCAAATGTCCCCTGCGTAGCCCTTTGTTCCGGTTGTCGGCTGGCCCAGGGGTGGTCGACGGCTGCGCGCCTGTTGGGCTTGTCCAACAGATGCCGGAAGGCCCAGATGCGGTGTGCGCCAACAACCATACGTCGCTTTGTTTAGGTTAGTTTGCATGGCTTTTTTGGGGTTCCATTGGTTTAATTAGATTGGTTTTACTCCATTTACCACAGACCCCCATCGATTCTTTCAACAGGTCACCCAAAAGTGGAACCAGGGAGATGGTTCAAACAAGGAGTGCGAGTAACAACAACCAAACGGAGGGTGTGTGCAGACAATATGGCTATGGGTCAAAACCCCGTCCCCCAGTGAACATCAACCAATCCCCACTAAAATAGGTTCTAAAATGGGTGGTGTCCCTACCCCGAAATCACCAGTGATGTTGACCCACGGCCTAATATTCTTAAAAGGCGCATTCAAGGTTCCCGCCTTATGAGGAGTTCCAGCGGACTGGCCCTACCATGGGTTTGGATACACATTTGGCCGTGGGCCAATGCCAATGGGATCCCGTTTTGGGTAGGTGAATTCACCACCCATTTTAGGCGAAAGTTTAGTGGGGATTGGTTGATGTTCACTGGGGGTACGGGAATTTGACCCATGGCCATCTAACGGATGAATCCCCCCGGGTTGTTGTCAGTGATTGGCAGGCAAATGAGCCCCGCTGCCTGTCAGGTTGGGTCGGGCACAAGTTGTGCCATGAATCAGGGGCATTGCAGGGTTTAGTAAGTTCTGAAGTATTTGCACAATCATGCCCATCAAGGAATTAACGTAGGGCCTCAAAGTGGCCCTTCGCTATAAGTGCGCTGCTTTGTGATCGTGTGTCTTAAGATGCAAATCTTCCCGGCGAAGAGAGCACCAGAGACAACCAAACCAATTGGAGGAGACTCCAATTTGGAGAGACGCCCTTTTCCGGAATTAGTGTAATTAATTTGCCACCTATAGCGACCATAATATGTTTTAAAAGGGTTTGAGCTCTTGGTGAATCCACAGCATGTCCCACGCGTTGTACGGTTCCACCTAAGGATCTGGAAGAGCTTACCGCGGCCCTTGACTCAGCAGCGATCCTGTGGCCAACTGCGAGCCTCTAAAAGATGATCAGAACACGTCGTCAGAGCTGTGTTCGAGTCAAGCCCAGGGACACTACGTGGGTTCACGGGAAATCTACACGAAATCCGCCATTTGGAGGGTTCCCTGGTTTATGCACAATTTGGGAAGACGCACAAAGCAGGCAGGCAGCCAGGCAGGCAAACCAAGAAACGACCAAACAACAAACAAACTAACAAACTAACAAACAAACAAACGATCAAATAATAAGCAAGCAAAACAAAAAGCTGCCGAAAAAGCAAACACGCAGACAGCCAGCCAAACCAAACAAGCATTCAGAACAAAACAAAAACACAGCCTGAGGAGCTGCGCAGCTTGGAGGACTACGCACTGGTCCTGTGCATTTCTGCTTCAAAGGCCTGAGAGGGCAAAAGCTGATCGCGTCAGCTTGGAGCGTTCTTGCGGAGCAGTTTTTTTAGCAGCATTGGCGGAGAAATGTATGGCGCACCTAAACACCGCCTTCCTGCCGGAGGGTTTCCAGTCTTGTCCTACTTACCAACGTCGGTGGAACTAGCACTGACCATGGGCCTGTCAAATGGGGGGACCCCAAAAATGGGTGGCTTCCCTTCGTCTTTCCTTTAGAGAAAAATGCCCCAAGCAGTTTGATCACAAACAAGAGGATTCCAGCACCAGCCAGTCAAATCATGCCACCTCACATAAACTGAAATCACATTTACAGGCAGAGGCCAGTGCCAGCTACATCCAGGGAGCCGGAGACGACGAGGAGGCGGGCTCATGGGTTCGCAACTCACTGGCTTCATGGGTTCTTAGGGAACCACGCTGTCAAAGCCAGATTATTTTTCTGGAAAGTGGATTTCCGGCCCCCACCTGGTCCCCCTAAAGATCAAAGGAGGGGCACCATGCGGCGGTTGAATCGGGATGCGAGGCCTGGGCTCGGCCCGTGGGCTTGAGCCCGCAGCTCTTCTGGCAGCACGCCCTGGCCCCAATGGCAAAACCCTTCTGCGCCTGCCTGCCTCCAAAGACAGATGTGGCGCGCTTGTCGGTAAAAGGAAAAGGAACAGGGGAGCCAGCATGTCAGCGATTGGAGGTTTGGGATGTTTGGGGTTGCCTGGTGTTTGTTGCTTCGGTGTGTTTTGTTTTGACGCTGGCGTGATATTCTGATACAGGATGGAAGTTTTGTAAATGGGCCGTGTTCCGCCTTGACACCCCTCGTACGTAGGCTCTCCGATTTTGTTGGCTGTACTAGTACATGAGGCGCTCCCCTTAAAGACCCTGCGTATGGACATGCATGGACCAAGCCTTTGGCCCAAGAAATCGACACAAAGTCTCCTGCCTCCCGCCGGCCGACCGGCCTCCCCCGAAATCGCCAATGGCAATGAAGCTGTGCATTGCGCAGGACCTGGGTTGGTAGGTTTAAACGAGACACCGAGAAGGAGTACTCGTTGGATAGATGGGTTTTGTTCCACCGTCAAGGACTGCCACGCTGGACCCCATGTTGGAAGCAACCGTGGTCTAAAGATTCATCCACAATTTGCCCATGTCACAAAGAACCTTTGCGAAGGTTTAAAGATTCATGGCACATCATGGCACTGCCATGGCTTTAAAGATCCTCAGAATCCTCAGAATGTCACACGGCTGTCCGACTAGGACTGCTGCAGCGGCCTCTCGCCTAGCTCTACCAGCTCGGGTAGCGGGTCAAACCTTTCAAGCTCTTCCAGCACCTGCTCGACGCAGGAGCCGTGCCCCGTTTCCTGGATCTGACCGACCTCTGGGATGTCTGCAACGGAACAATCCCGTGGCTCCAGTTGTGTTGGACTTGTATATCCATGTCAATGTTTTTTGGTCAATTCAGAGTTCTCTATGTCCCATTGCCGGACATGGGGGGCCCTTGTCAATCTAGTAGGCAAGGGTCTCGGTGAATACATCCAGGTCCCTTGGGCCCTTCAAAAGATGCACATGTTGGAGCAGCGAATGAATCTCCTTCGCCCGAATTCAAGGATCCCTCCGTTTTCAGCGTGTTTTTGGGCTGGACGTTTTCTCCTTTTCTGACCCTGTTCCTTTTTTCTCCTTATGGCTGGACCTTTTGCCGGAGGTTTGAGCCTTGGAGGACCGGGAGGTGAACGTGGCTGGGCTCCAACAGCACCTCCTGGAGCTCCTGCACTCCCGGCCCCAGCTGCAGCGGCAGCTGGCGTCGAAGGAGCTGCCCGAGCGCTGGGAGCGGCTGCTGCAGGAAGACCTCGAGAGCCTCCCAGGCCCCGAGCCGGGACTGGGCCTTGGAAAAGCGGATGGTCTTCCAACACCAGAAACCCTGCTGTCCTTTCGTTGCTGCCATTTGCTGAAATGAATGTGTTCTCTTATGTTCCAAAACACCTAAACAAATGGAGGGTTTCCCCCCTGTTTGGTGGATTGATCATCTTCTCTTTGCTCTGTGGTGTCCTTGTTTCTATTTTTGGGAGGGAGCTTTCCCTTGCACATGGCATACCAGATCAACTATCACAAGGACGAGGGCGTGGATGACTAGGATCGCTTCCGAAAGTAGTGTGGAGATGGCCCAGAAACAAACCTTTTATCTTTGTTTGGGGGGTGGGGGGCGAACTCTGAAGTGGATGAGGGGTGGGCATTTGCCCTTGGCCGATCTTAGGAAGAATGACGCTGGTTGTTCCAAGATGACCAAACCACAAGTTGGGATCGAAATCGGTTTGGTGTCCGGTGTCCCTTTGCCAGGGGCCAATCTTCTACTCAGGGTGTCTGCTCTTTGGAGGGGTTCAAGCCCATTTTCTCTAGGTGCCACATTGGGGGCAGTGCAAGGTGAGAATTGAAGGACCGGAATAGGGGTGGTAGGGGGCACAAAGGGGGTGCAAAGAAGGGGAAGGGCATTGCCTGACTGCTTGTTTCTGTCAGGGCCTGTAGCATGTTCTTAAGCTTTGCAAGAAAAGGACACTCACAATTCGACATGCTTCAACGTGAATCTTTCAGCTGTCGACCCGCAAATGGTGTGTGTGTGCTTCCCTGTGTTTACCTTGAAGAAGCAGCTAAAAGGAGTGCGCCATTCTTTTTAGAAACCCACATTCTGAACATCATGACAGATACTATCATATAAAATCTGTGTATCGCTGTGCCTAAGGATTTCCCGGCCGCACCTTTCATATGCTTTCGCCCGACCAGTGGCCTTTGGTGTAGCCTGTGAGCCTTTTCACCCGACCAGTGCCCTTATCTAAGGGGTTTTCGTATTACAGTCATTTCCCAAGGGTGCAAACCCAGGGTGTACAAAACCCTCAGACCTTCCCTCTTCGGTGAAGCGTCCCGAGGCTTTGGCTTCGAGGCCGTGGAGGACGTGCTGGCGGCCTTCGGAGATCTCAGCGACGACGCCTTGGTGCAGCACCTGGCCATCCAGCAGGCCATGGGCCCCACCTACGCCGCGGAGGCCGGGGAGGAGACGCGCGGTTCCGAGCCGCCTCAAAACCTAGGTGAAGGTCAACGTAAGGGATCCCAGCCAGAAATGGGGGCTGAAACCTGGGATTTTTGGGTCACAGCCAAGCATGGGTGCAGAAACCTGGGATTTTGTAATTCTTTACATGCCGGGTGTTGATGATTTCTTGTGACTCAGTTGGGCAATCTGCAAGATCCTCGGGCTGCGGAAGGTTGCAGTGGACAAGCCAAGATGGGTTGACCCGGCCTCCATTTTGAGCATCGAATGGTTCTCAAAGGAATCAGTCCATTTCCTACTGTGGAAAAGATTTCCTTTTTTGTTCCCTTTACCAACCGAAAGGGTGTCCGAATTCAAGTGCCTCCCAAATCAGCCGGGGGGGGGGGTGGGGGCGCCGAAGTGAACAGGTCCACATTTTGGGGGGATCAAATCCCCGACCTGTTCTGACCAAAGGGTCCGTGTCCAACTCGCCAACTCGCCGAGATCGTGACGCCCTTGGGCCACCACCGGGCCGCGCCCACGAAGCAAAGTTTGCTGCGGCTGCTGATGAGCTTGAACCTTTGGTGCATTTTGCGCGAATTAAACCACTAAAATTGTTAAACTTCTAGCAGGGGAGCAGAAAGCAACCGAGGAACCGCAGCTTCAGCCATCCGGACTTCCAGCTGCAGGCGCGGAGTGCGGCGACTTTTGGCGGCTGAGAGTTTCGCGAGTCCAAAGTTTCTGGACTCGAGTCACTTTTGAAAGCAAAGAAACAGGTCCTCACTTCCGGACTTTTTGGGTTTGAATTGTTTTAGTGGCAAACAAAACAGCTTCTTCTTTTTTGCCATCCACTCCGGAAGTGAGGCAACATGGCTTTTGGTCAGGAGGTTCGATCAACTGTGGCAGCTATCCAATTCAACATGCCAATATGCTGCCTGGGTTTGGGGTCAAACAAATAGGAGGCACACCCCCCCAATCTTATAATGAAAGCCTGAGGTGTTCAGCATTTATGGTTTCAACTGTCAGGACAATTCAGGTTGACTTGGTTTTGCGGTGGTCTGTTTTTTGTTTTGCTCTCCGTCCAACACCATCCCAAGAAGGGACGCCACGGCGGAAGTATGTCCAATTGGTCAAGCAGTCTTCTTTCCATATGGGTGTGTCATGTTGGGTACCTTATTTCACCTCAAGATTCAAAGGGAACAAGAGGAAACCACATTTTTATATATTGGGTCCCCCTATGTCGACTCATACCCTTTTTGCGAAAACATGCGAAAACCGTTGCTTTCGATCGGCAAAGCTTCCACCCACAGTGGATGTCCGTTCAAAGGAGTTTCAAGCGCCCTCCCAAGCATCCAGCTGCTGACTCATAAGATTCTCATGCCCGTTTCCTAGAATAGGACCCCCCCCTTTGGATGGTTTTAAGGTGAGCTTGTGATCTTTTCAGGTCATGTTGGTTGACATGTCTTGGCCCTGCCCCTTTGTTGAATGTCAGACTTTGCACCCCCCGTTCAAACAAGCTTTTGTCTTCCCAGGGACAAGGGTCACATGCCGCGAGAGAACCAAGCGACAGGTCGAGAACCTGAAAAAGCACTTTCCCGCTGGAGCTGCGGAGGGCTACTTCCATCTTCCAGGTGCGGTTGAAGCGGATAAACATGTTCTCCTTTCTGAGGCCTCACATAGACTGAGGCCAATGAAGTGATGTTTTTGTTGGCAAGGATTCATTTGGGGATGGGTGGGTCGTCTTTTGAACCATGTTGGAAATGTTGTTTTAAAGGTGACAAATGCAAGGCGCCAGCAGCGCTGGCGCTCAACGACCTAGGATTTGCGGAAGTGTCCATGTCACCACAGCGAAACAAGCATCTCTTGAATGGGCCGAGTAAAAGGAAGCAACTACCTAGGAATTCATGTTGTTGTGTTTTGTTCTTTCCGGACCATTTGTTTTCTTTTTTTCCTTGTCATTTCCGCAGTACTTGAATTGACATGGGTGGTTTCCGAGTCGCCCTTGTGGGAAATTTGTGATCTTTGTCTACTTCCCCATTGATCCATGAACAAGCACTAGAAACGGACAAGTGAGTCAAGTAGAAAGCTAAGAACTGATCGCTTCAAAGCCGGGGGACGTCAGCCCCTTCTGACGCACGGCGTGACGCTCGCACGAGTTCCGACGTTGGCAATGTCATGATTGGGGCCTACAGTCAAGGAAAAGTTGCACAGAACAGTTGAGTGGAATGTGTCAAGACGTGTTGGATGCTCTCAAGATTGATTTAACGTATACACAACCGTCTATTTATTTATTTGTTAATGTATTTATTGATTTATTTATTTATTTGTTTTATTTATTACTTGTTTATTTATTTATTTTACTTGTTTAGTTACTTATTTATTTTGTTTGGGGGGTTGCTCGAAAATTATCCCGTTTTGTGTCGAAGCAATTGGTTTGTGCCAGGTTTACGAGCCACTGGACTTACATGACATAAAGTTCCGGAAACTCGCATGGCTTTGTCCTATGGAGACTCCGCCAGTTTTCAAGAGACCTTCACTTTGGCAGTCGCTTGGATTGGGTGAAACCT